CCGCTCGGGGGGCCGCGCCGCCGCTCCCGATGGGATAAGCGGCCACCATGTTCAGCTTCGAAGGGGACTTCAAAACAAGGCCCAAGGTGTCTCTCGGAGGGGCGAGCAGGAAGGTAAGCGCCGCTGCGCCGTGTCCATGCCCGCCGCCGCCTCGTTTATTTTGGTTTCTCCTGCCCTCCCCCGCCTGCCTTGCCTTTACTTATTTATCTATCTATCTATTTATTTATTTATTTATCGATCGTGATTTCTATCGTTGGGCCTTCATTTAAAAAAAAAAAAAAAAAAGCAGCAATGACTAAGATTTAATGGGGGAAAACGCTCCTCCGGTGATGCTGTGTTTCTCCGCGGTGTCCCTGACTGGTTTATTATTATTATTATTGTTGTTGTTGTTATTGTCATAGGAGGCCCTGCGCACTCAGGGCTGTGGGGTGCGGGGAGACCTTTCCCTGGCGCTTCCCCCCGCTGTCGGCTCCAGGACGGGGCAGGTCCCGGGGAACCGGGTTCCAGAGGGGCAGGGAGGCCGCCCGAAACTTGGGATCGATGGGATGTCTGGGTGTGCGCGGGAGGCCTCCCCTGCGTGTTGCGGGGTGGCTGCTCACAGGTCTCCTCCTGAGTTTGCCCTCCGCCAACTCGCGCTGCGTGGCAGGGAGAGGAGCAGGTCGCTGCCGCTGCGCCAGGCCGACGAGTCGTGTTTATCACTAAAAAATGAAGCTACTTGGCCTAGACCTTGCTGCTCCGGTGGTCAAGTGTCTGCTGCCGCAGAAGAGCTGGCGGAGAGTGGCGTGAAGGACAAAGTGCTCTCAGCAGGGCCCTGGGCTCAGGGGCCGCTCTGATTCATCCGTGAAGTTCTGCTTCCTCCTGTTGTCATGGAGCGGGGCTTTGTGTGTGTGTCGTTATTATCGTTTCCCTTAATAGCACTGAATTTTAATGGGGTTTATAAGAAATAGGCACGATAGGGAGATTTGTTTATCCACGACGTCTAAGGCTTGACCTGAGGTTAAGCCTTCAGATAAGGAACTGAGCTAATGTACTGTGCTAAAAATCACAGGTTTGGTGCAGGTTATATATTTCATTAAATAGAACATGTAGCATAACTGTGTGTGATTTGTTTTTCTTCTGAATGCTCTTCTGATAATCCAGAGCCATGTCTGTTCATTAGGCTTCATATGTTACACAGGTCAAAAATAGAATAAATGTTACCCAGTTGAAGAGGGAATTGGCACAAGGTGCCTTGGCCCTCAGATAAGCTTTTTAGATACTTTGCAACTTTTGGCATGGACTTACCAAGAGTGTTACTTTCAGAACATGTTTCCTGCTCCAGAAATAAACAGCCATTATAGTGTCTCCTGCTACACTTACAAATTTATTGATCTGATGAAAATCACCACAGAATTTACTGTCGCATTTATTTATTGTTATATGTTCTGACTACATGGGACAAATCTATTAAACCTCTGTGTGTATAAATTTTCAAGGACAAATATTACAAGAACTGAACTTGATGTGTAGCTTTAATTCCATCTTCATGTTTGATTGAGTTTATATTATAAAGACCATCTTTCCTGATCAGACTGCTAATGGCTGGTCAGCAACTTTACCTGGGTAAACTGAAGTGCTCATGCTGTGTTGGTGGATTAAAATTACTCCCAGTTTTGGACATTTTCGTCATTGGGGGCATCATAGAAAGAGCCTGGCATAGCTGCTTATTTTCAAAAACATTGTGTGGTACTAGTGAAATAATTTATTTAATCAGTATTAGGAATTCCTTTTACAAATGCTCTTCACCTGAATGTTTGTATAAACATACTGGAATAGAGACTGGTGTGACAAATGTTTAGGAGTTTCATGAATCTCTCATTATCTCACATCACAGCTTTTTTGTGACCATTTTCCCCTGACCCGTAGGTTTCACTTTTACAGAAGAGTGAAACCTGAAATATTTCCTTTCAGTTTATCGTGTGCACCTGTATAATTCACTGTCAAAACCACCTTGGGGCTCTGGTTGAAGGACCCATGTGGATGCTGAAGATGTGGCAGGATTCCTGCTGTGGAAGCAATGCAATAAAAGAAACCTTTAGCAAAACTGATCTCTAGGTGACTGGTTTTGCAAATATAACCGCAGTTGTAAACAGTAACTGTGCTGGTTACATGTGCTGATATCCCCCTCCAAAACAGCCATATTTCTAGTATGGATGTACTTAAGTTTGCTTAGGCTTCCTGAGGGTTAACTTTAGCAAGCCCTGCTAGTACAGGCTCCATGATTGACCTGTTGCTCTGTCTAAAATTGAGCATGTTGTGGCAGTGACTAGGGGCAGTTAGAAAAATGGCAGTCCCAAGCAAAATGTCTGTGAGACTGTGAGGACATGAGGAAGATCAGTATAAATAGATAAATTAATTTGGAAAGATAAATTTCTTCAGGTTGTCCAACCTAAGAAGGGCCTCTCTTACTTAAAATAGGTGGGCTAGTTTAAAAGAAGTAATATAATTTAATGTAGTTACTAGCAGCTATCTTATTCAGCTCTGATGTTTAGGGTATTTTTGGTTGATAGATACCTTCACTTTTGTTTTTACACTGTTTGTATAGTTTGCTCATGTACGCAACATGCAACTGTTTGCATGTTGTGCTTATGTGCCTTTTGGTGGTCTCAATTATGGGTTCTGTAGAAAAGCATTTAAATTCAGCCAGCCTTTTTGCCAAAAAAAAAAAAAAAAAAAAAAAAAACCCTCTAAATAGGTTTTCATTTATTTTTGTTAAAATCCTGGGTTGCAAAATGTTTTTTCTCAAAGTGACTATTAACTCTGTTCCTTTTGGAATATTATTTAACATTTTAGTACTATATAGTAAATAAACATAAGTATAGATGATATTGCCCTATATTTGCACTTTTACCTACATATTTACTTTCCCAAATAATTCTGCTGATTCATTTGGGCTATTTGCATTAGTTGTGTGTTTGTTTGAGGGAATACTGTGTTTTATTTGCAATGTAATGAGCTTTTTTTAAATGTTTGGCAATAGTTGTCCTGTCAAACACTCTGATTCTCTGCTTTATGGATCTCTCCAAATATATTTTCAAATTTAGTTTTTATTTTCACTGCCAAATACTTTTTGATTTCTGAAGAAAGATCAGATGGGATTCAATACAGAAATATCATTAATTAGGGTGGTTTTTTTTTTTTTTTTTTTGGTACATCATAGCTGCCTAAGAAGTTAGAGCTGCAGAATTTTTGTGGTATGTTGGGCAAGAAAAAAGAGGTACTTCTGAAGAATTGATTTGGGAGGGCAGTTCAACCCAAAATAAGGTTAACTTCATTTGCAGTGCCCTGCAAGAGATGTTCCTACTTCTGGGTCAGGCTACTATTCAATTACTAAGTTTACCAACATTAAGAAAAATGTGAGACCCCAGTCCTGCTTCATGCCTTTGCTGGGATTTATAGAGGACTCTGTAAGTCCACAGTCATCATTTAGATGATGAAATGTAGTAACGGGATGTCATCTACCTTTTGCAGGAAGAATTTTTCAGAGTATTATCAAGTCAAACTTAGCTTATGAGCTAAAATTTTAAAGACAAGTTTTTGCAAATCCAAAGATTTTTGAAATACTATTACAGTTTAAGTAATCTAAATAAGGTGGTTTAAAAAAATGATCCTTTTCAGGAATTTGTAACACAGAAGGGTCAGCACTGTCAAACAGAAACTGGCATAGGTTCTTGTGGGAAATTAGTAATAATCCATCTCATTTTTAAATATCAGAAAATAATTACTCACTTTCACCTTTGCACCCAGCAAAGTTTTAAAGTTTACCAATGTGGTAAAAAGATGTCATGATAAATGAGTGTTCAGCAATGTTCAGATCTTAAAAAGTGAACAAATATTAGAAGCGGAATTTTGCTTATATTTATATTTTTTTTCTGAATCTGATTTTTAAACCAAAAGGACTAAGAATGTATTAATATTTGCAGTATAAGGTGCAAAAGTGCCAGACAGGAAGAGGTATAGTTGATACATTTGTTTCATGGTATTCAGTCTTTGTGTAGGATGTATAAGGACGGAGGAGTTGCATAAATATGCTTTTGTAGCAAGATTATATATTCAGAAAAATGAGTTTTTTAAAAAATAGTTTTAATTCAACATTTCTGATTTATTGTGTATTAAATTGGTGCTTCTGATAGTCACATAGTGACATTTCCATTATATTTATGGATGGTCCTGTTTTCATTATCAGTATGCACTGGTGCAACTTTGAACCATGCCATGATGATTAATACTATACTACAAATTAATATTTTAGATGTTATTTAAAAATAATTACAAGCTTTCTGTTCCATGTACTGTTTTCAATCTGGTTCCCTTTTTGGTTTTTTTTTTTCTGTCTCTTTACCCTTGTGTTTTATTCTTTGTGTCATTGTCTGTAATATCACGTTGCATTTTGCTGTCATGTACTGTATTTTTGTTTTCTTGTTTCTTGTATCATGCTTCATCTGTTCAGTCAAAACTGCTTCTCCAGTTGGGCTTTCTGTGATCTTGCGCTTTGCATCAGAAAACCGAGATCCTCTGTTGGAGGAAGGAACAAATAGGAAAGAGATTGTTGATAATATCCTACTGTTAATAATATCCTAATGTTTCACGAAACACACAGATTACCTGTTCCATGTCTTGCTCTATGGAGGTCAAGTTCCCGAAGGAAAGAAGATTAAGTCATAAGAAATGGCAGAAATTTGATTTAGGAAATGGCTTCCCACTCCTTTTGAGGAAGGATTAAGGGTTTCAAGACAAGCTGATGCTTCATTCCTCCAGCTGAGTCTCTGCCCACGGTGTGATAGACCTGGTGTCTGCCTTTTCCTGAGCTTGGATGGAGGGTGTCTGCCTGCCTTGCAGGAGAGGGAAGAGGACAGCAAAGTCACCACAGAAGTGAGGCGAGGAAGATGAGCAGTAACAATGAGCTGGGCTTGATTTCTGGAATCTGCCCCAACAAGATCTTGTGTTGTCAGTATCGGTGACTATGATTAGGAAGGAAGAGGTTTTGTAACACTGTCCTGTCAGCTGCTGTGTGACAACTTAGGTGGAAGGAGTTGTCAAAGATGAGTCCGTTGTAGTGATGTGGCTGCTGAGCCAATCTCAGCATCTCTGCATTTTACAACATCTAATGCACTTGACCATCATCTTTTTTACTATTCCCTTTATTAAGAGGCAGGCAGAATTTCAAGAATGTCTACATTTGGCTCTCTGTAGGAAATAAGTTTATTAGAATACTGTTTGTAGGTGAATAAGATCAGTTTATAGTTCTTTTCATCTGTCTCCAAGAGGTTTATTTTCTATTGTATATTTACTGTTACTCTTTAATATCTGAAGTGGTGACATTTCCCAGTTACATTTACCCGTGGAATAGCTCTGAAGGAACTGTCACTGTCAAAGACATTTTGTTTGCATTTGAGGGAGGTACATTCCTTAATCTTAGTTGCAGTTCTACTCCTTGGTGGTTGAGCGATATGTTTGTCTTGTGAATAACAAGAACAGAATCATTTGACCCATATTCACATTTTTAGTTGGGTTATACTTATTTGAGTACTTCGTTTTTATTGTTGTCTTAGGGCTGTTCTATTCCATTTAGTTTATATTGTTATGATTCAGTGTTTTTTTTTTTCTCCCTATGTACTTAAATGCTAAGAACGTAGGTTTTATTTTGATTCTTAAAGTAGATTAAAGAGTGAGGTACCTAGTGACAGTCTTCAAAGAAAGTCAGGCCAGAAAAGCCAGAACACCCAGAATCTGGTCCTCAAAGAGACCAAACTCTGGTAAAAACTGGTGATTCGCAGCATGAGAAGAAGATGCCCACTTACCTATTTCCTTGTCCTCCCAAATACACACAATTATTTTGTTCTGGTAAACCCTTGGCAGTGGGACCTTCTTTTCATTTTATCTATTAGTCCACTGCATTTATTATATCTGTACTTTTTTTGTACTGTTTTTGTCTCCACTCGCATGTAACAATTTGTCTCTAGCAGATAGATATTCCCTTTTCTTTATGGTCTTCAGCTTTTTCTTTCCATCACCTCTCAAGAATAAGATACATAGATTTAGCAGCATGTTCCAAGGAAAAATACCCTCTCTTAAATGACTCTTCCTGCAAAATGAAGCCATCTGAGAACATGGAGGAGATGTTTGTGTGTATGGGACATGAGCTGTTGAAAAGGTTTAAAAACAAGTCCCAAAATATTAGGTCATCTCTTGATCATTTCTTATTTTATTTGTCTTTTTATTTATTTATTTTTTTTGTAATGTCAATATCTGTTACCTTTACATTTCCAATCAGACCCATCACCTTTCTTATTGCTTGTCTGGAGATAGGTTGTTTCACCCGTAAATTTTGTTATGATCTGTTTTGTCTGTGTTTAACATGTGGAAAAAAAAATGTTTTTTAGAGGGCACTATCTATATTTAGTGGTGTTGTTGGCCATAACATACTGTTTTTACAGGAAAAGATGATTAAACTTGTGGTATTTTTTTTTTTATGGCTGCTGCAGTAAATCATAGGAAATACTTAAAAATACATTTTTTTAATCTGTCTTTTTTCGTTTTTTACTCCCTCATGTTCTGTGCTAAAATATTTTCTATGATAATGAAACTTGGAGGTGGACCATGACTCTGTATCTTAAAGAAAAAATGCACAAGAGGTTTGCCTCAAGAGTATCCAGAATGTGACATTTGTATCAAGACTTCAGTTTTTGTACCTATGTGTAGGCATTGAAAATGCAGTTGTTTCAGATGTAGTTTTTTATAAATGCTTGTTTGCCATCTTCAGGGTTGCTTTTATATGTTTGGTCATAGTGCATTTTCTGCTTGCATGTGTTTTTTCCCTTAGTTTTTATAGACTAAAAAGGCCGTAGGGAGAAAAAGGAAGTTATGTGTAGTGGGAGCAAGAAAGCAAAATAGATTCCTTAGAAAAGAAGAAGATAATTATTTTCTTTCTTAAACTTACTGTGAATTTTAGACTAGATTTGGGAGTTGCCAGAGTCTTTTCAAGTCTTATTGTCTGCAGTGGGAGCTGAGTGCTCTGTATAAATAGGAATTGTGTTTATTTGGAAACAATACAGATTCATCGAGTAAGAGGGTCTCTCAAAGCACTGTCAATTTTTGTGATCGATGTGTAGGGATTTAATATTGTGGCTTAAAAGCTAATGCACTTTTTTTTTTTTTTTTTTTTTTTTTTAATGGTAATGGTATTGTCCTTATGAGTCCTCATGAATACTTTAGTATTCTTCTCTTTGTATTGGAGAAACCATTCTGGAAGTTTCAGTTTATAGCCTGAATTTGGGCTTTAGAATTCAAAATTCTAGAGAGAGAGAGAGAGAGAGAGAGAGTGAGTGAGAGAGAGAGAGAGAGAAAGAAAAAAAAAATCCTTCTATTTGCTTTACATTGGTAAGTTTTGACATCTTCTTGGGACAAATCTGGAGAAAGGAATGATTAAATATAGCGAGTTAATACTTTTTGTGAGCAAGACGAAAGCCCAGGACTGTGACACAGAGTGCAGTGGCTTTCGATGCTCTCCAGCTTGCTTTAGGCACCAGGGCCAGTGACTTCTGCCCAGGCAAGGAAGACACACAGTGACCGCTTGGATTGGGGACCTTACGGAGTGTCAGGCCCCTGTCTGTCATGGGGTCGTGTTTGGTTACGTGATTGGGATCATGTAACTGGCTGAAAACCAGCCTGGACAGAGACCTGTACAACTTGCTAGTGCTTGGTTGTCCCTTTTCTACTTCCGTAGCCTGACCCCAGCGCTGTATGTCTGTGTGTGTGCAGTGGTTGCATAGCACAGGTTTGTTGATGCATGAAATTACTATTTGTCTTGAGTGGGATATGTCTTAGCTATTATGAAAATCTCTGAAAGATAAATCTGCATTAAATTTCAATAATGCTTTTGAATCGTGTGTTTGAATGAAAATGCTATAGAATCTCCATTTGTATCTTGTAGGAAGAAAAGGCTTCTCTCCTGCATCGTACTCAGGAAGAAAGGAGAAAACGGGAGGTAAAGTAGAAATAGGGGCTTGGAATGTAAGCATTGCATGCACACTGCATTTTTCTTTGATGCAATAATATTTGCAGTTTAAAAAAAACTTTATTCTTTTAGTTGTGGTGTAGTCTTTGTTGAGAAAAGATAGCTATTTGGCAAATAACTTGATTTTATTTATTTATTTATTTATTTTGCTGTGTCCCTAATCTCTTACTACGGTCTTAGCAAACTGTGCTTCTCCTCTGGTTCTACTGGAGTTTACAGGATGACCTTCAGCAAGTTGCTTGCCGAGGAGAAGGTTGAGAGGGGATCTTACTAGTGTGTACCTAAGGGGACACTAAAAATACCTAAGGGGAGAATTTAGGGAGGAAAGGGCCAAGCTCTTCTCAGTGGTGACTGGTGATAGGACAAGGAGCAGTGGGTGTTAGTTGAAACATATGAAGTTCTATCTCCATGTGAGGAAGAACTTCTGCACGGTGGGGGTGCCAGAGCCCTGGAACAGGCTGCCCAGGGGGGTTGTGGAGTCTCCTTCTCTGGAGATCTTCAAAACCTGCCTGGATGCCGCCCTGTGCTCTGAGTGTCCCTGCTGGAGCAGGGGTGTTGGACTAGATGATTTCGAGAGATCCCTTCCAACCTCAACCGTTCTGTGATTCTGTTGTACTTCAATTCTGCAAAAGTAAAATCAAGACTTATGCTCCAGTGCAGTAACACTGCAGTGTAAATACCTGCAGCACTTCAGCCTCCTGCACATTGCACATTCTGCAATGGCTTAGCATTTCTTTTCTGAATCCATTTTTTTCCCCTCTCCCAACCCAGGTGTACTAGTCTGTACTAAACTTAAGTGTGAAATTTTGGGGTTTCACTTGTTAATTCAGAAACCTATGCTATGAATTTTTATTCCAATTTATGATCAGTGAGGCCATGCATACATATATGAAAAGACTCTTCTGTGCTTCAGAAGCTCTTTGTCGAATATCAAAATAACCCCTTCACAAAATGAATGAAAAGTCATTATGTATTTTTTTTTTTTTTTAAGGATGACTCCTCTGAGAATAAAATCAGTCATGGCTTTTTACAAAAGGCCTGTAGCAGAACCTTACCAGTGACCTCAGCCTTGAAACCATCACAATTAGGGGTCACTAATTGACAATCATATATTCTAGAAAAAAAAAAGTATCTAGAGAAAAGGAGAACATACCTCCTTTGTGGTTGAATGTTACATTATGATGATGAAATGACAGTGCCTCTTTGTAATTGAAACTCTGCTCTCCTTGCCCCATACTTTGCATTTTACTCTTAGGTACTTAGGAGAGAAAAGTATCTGTCAGGATAACATATTTTTATTTTGGTCCAGACTGAAGGGATGATTAGAGAATTTTAAGTATGAGTTTATTTATATAAGTTGTTAAGGCAACCTGTTTTTCCCAGCATTGTAAAACAGGCATTGGAGAGCAATTCAAAAACCTTTGTGATGTTTCATTGACCACTTCAGTTTAAGTTTTTGACTATGAAAGTTCTGTGTACCTCTATGGCACAATAAATTAGTTATCGAACTTTTGTCAGTTTACAAGTAACATGAAAATGTTCTTGGGGAGGTTCAAATGAACTACCAAGACTTTTTTTGTTGTTTGATGGCTCTCAAAACTATGAGCCACCCGACTCATCAAAGTTTAAAGATCTTGAAGCTCTTCAAATAGAATTTGTTGTCTCAAGATAGGCTTCTCTGATTTTACTCTTGATCTTCCTACTTTCCCTTCCTCAGCCATTGCTTCAAAGCTTGAAGTTTTGTTAACAACAATTTTATTCACTTCCTCTTTCATCTCTTAAGAAACTATATGGACATCATTATAAACCTAATTACAGTAGCCACTTCCTTTAGATATTTCACAGAATCACAGAATGGTTGAAGTTGGAAGGGACTTCTAGAGATCATCTAGTCCAACCCCCCTGCTCGATAAGGACACCTAGAGCACATGAGCATATTTGTCATGATCAGATGTGGGGTGTCGCCAAGTGACACTCTGAGTGCTCTTCCCACAGCTCTGAAGTAACTTTTCCTTCACTTCCTCAGAAACAGTCATTGTGAAGAGAAGATTCTGACTACAATTTCTGTCTACTGAGGAAAACTCCATAAAATGACTCACTTTAAATGTCCAGTTGGAAGGAGAGAGCAAGGATTTTAATTAATTTCTGCTTTATGTTTCCGTATGTTCATCTCAGTAGCAGTCTTGTCCCCACATAATTGTGTTGGGGCATCTGAACTGTACCAGGTGCTGCTGGTACATTATTGACCTGGAAATAGCTAAGGAGGCCATCATTACTGGCTGACTGATTTGTGCAGAAGGAAGATTAGTATTTTTGGGTTTCATCAACTCTTGAACCTTTCAACATTATTTTCTTTTCCCTAATAAAATGCTAGTGTGTTTATTTCTGTAATATTGAAGGCTGATTATTAAAAATTCTTATGCAGTAATGTAATGTTAAATTTATACTTAAAACATGAGTTTCATTCTCTCTTCTTGGATGCAAAGCCTCAGATGCATTATTTTACTTATGCCTAGCACTTAATTTTCATTAAAATTATTTTTGAATACAGAGATACTGGAAAAAATTGTAGGAGCTAGGCTTCGTATTTGTTGATTTTGATCTTTTTGTTTTGTTTGACAGGAAGAAAGGCGGAGGCTGAAAAATGCAATAATAATCCAGTCCTTTGTAAGGGGGTACAGGGACAGAAAACATCAAGTAAGTATTTTTATGCTTATTCAGAAGGGAATAAAACAACTTTGCTGAAAAAAAGGTCTTTCCTGCATTAAAAAATTCCAATGAAAGTCTTTCCTTTTTAATGTGCTATGTGTGCTCATGATGTGCAAGATCCTTTCCCCTCCTGCTATGTTTTCAGAGACAGTTTTTTTATTAGGTAGTCACTCAGTTGTCAAACCGTGTATGTATGTGAAAGCAGATTTCAGTGGAATTACTTTTTTTTTTTTTTTTTTTTTTGAGTCAACAAAACATATGAGAATAGTTTGATATTCTCAGTTTTCATTTACACACCAGGGGAACAGGACTCTTCAGCAGAAATGGAATGGTAGTTGGATTCAAAAGGATATTCTTTCTAAGCTTATGTTGGAATAGTTATTCTGGGAGAGGGTTGTTCATGTTTAAGATTGCTAATATTTATTGAGTAAACCAGATGAAGTTGCATAATGTGATGGTATTTATTTGAGAAGCAACAAATTTTAAAGTATACTTTCTGAATTATATCAGTTATGGCTTTAACTGTAATTATGTATAGGCATTTCAGTCTCTTAACATAACAGCTGTATATGAAATCCCTCAAGATGGGAAACCAAGATAGGATATTAAAAATTTTGTATCTCTGTTTAAATTTAGAGTCGTTACTGATATGTTGAGACACATTTTCTTTTGTTTTGAAGTACTCTATCCAAAGAAGTGAATTTGATCGCTGTGCTAATTTGGCCCAATCTGGAGGAACCTTTTCCACTACTAATGGAGCTAATTTGACCCTTTTAGTTCGTCAGTTACTCTTTTTCTATAGACAGAATGAGGATTCTAAGCGTTTGGTAAGTACTGTTACTCCTAGTTTAAATTCCTGCACTTTTTTTGCATCACTTCATAACCCTCTAAGTCGAAGAGGACCTGAAGAGATGTTGAACTCTTTATTAAAGCCATTTTAAATCGTGAATATCACTGACCTTAGTTCTTCTTTGCTCTTTTGTTATTTATTTAAACAGAATAATTTAAAAGTTAATTCTGTGTGTATGTGTATACATACATGCACGTACAGAGTCTGTGAAAGGAAACCTTGAAAAGTCCTCTCAAATAAGAGGAAATACGATATATGTGAGGCACAGTAATGTATTAATATACCTCGGTTAGCTGAAAAACACTGTTAAAATGTAATTCTGTTTCTGTGGTCATTCCTAAGGTATTAGGGCATTTGATTCTTTTGCATGGTCAATACTGCTGTTATAATATTTTTGTAATCTCTGCAAGCTTCCAAAATATACAAGTGAAAAGGACTTGATTGATATTAAAAATAGTGATTACAGAGTTACGGCTATTTAAAAAGGCAGAAAATTATCAGAGAAATTTATTCTCATTATAAAGTTATTTGTGAATAATGACTGAAAGTGATTGCCTTATTGTGTGTTTTGTAAGGCACCCAGAGGTATTGTTATGTATATGTACATATTGCGTATATATCTTTATCTATAAATAGTATAATATGAGTATACATAATATACTGTTCATGTGCTTGGCAGAGCAAGGCTAAGATACTAGTGTATATGCTGCAGTGTTGCTGTATATGCTGAAAAGTGGTTTTATGCAACACTGAAATGTGATCATTCATTTAATTAGTGCAGCTGAAATTTATGTCAATGCATTAAAAAAAATCTATGCGTGTTAAAACTTGTTGGTTGAACGAGTTTAGGAAAGAAACTGCTAAAGAAAGGGATAGTAGGAAAGACATTGTGATCATTGTGCAACTTGTAGGAGAATAAACTGGTTTGTTGGTGGTGAAGTCAGGTGTACTCAAAGAGGGTGTAATAATTAGCCTGTTATATATTTGATTTTCTGCTAAACTTGTCTGTATCTTTCCCTAGATATGGATGTGTCAGAATCTAATTAAACAGAGTTCTCAGTTTGTTAAGCAACTGGATGGTCCAGACAGACTTACTTGCTTATTCCAAATAAAAAGACTGTTGGGGCTGTGTTGCAGGTAATTTTTTTTTCCTGTAAAATGTTATTTAAGAATCTTTATAATGTTATTGGGTGCTTTTTTGTTTCGGTTTTCTAGCAAGTGAAGTATGTGTTAAATGTGAACTTATTTTGTGTTTGATAGTGTTAAATTTTTGTCAGTCGTAGTTTATGATAGTCATTCCTGTTTCAAAAGAGTGGAATTTTCTTTAGCTCAGCGTTTTGCAAAGAAGCCACTGTTTTCTGTTAATATTGAGGATTCTCCCAGAAAATTGATACACATTAATCCTTGAAGCTTGTGATTTTATAGTTGTTTATGCACATGAACAGCGGCCCTGGGCACACAAGTACACTTGAGTGGCAGACTTCAGATTCCACCTAACCTGGCCCCTGCCTGTGGTGTCACTGCAGTCAGTTGTACGTTTTTAGCACAGTTGGAGCTGTGGTTTGTAAATGCAGGTGTAGTCATGTTCCCTCTCTGCCCTCACGACTGGGTGATGGAGGAGAAGAGGGGAGCAAAGGAGTCTGTTCGTCCAGCACCTGGGGAGCCTGGAGGAAGAAGCTCCTTTTACTTCATGGTGCCAGTGGGGTGGTGGGTGTCCCTGCTTGCTCTTTGAGCTCTTCTAACTCGCTGCCCTCGCCCTAATCCAGCAGCAGCACCGACACCCCAAACCATTCCCCGTGGGTAAGATTCACAAGAAACTATGGTGACAGTATGTTGCATCTTGGCAAAAATGGTAGCTTACAAAAGCTTCTGCAAAAAAAAAAAAAAAAAAAAAAAAAAAAAAGGCATCTCGTCATTGTATCTCTTTAATGTTTAGTGAGAGTAACTTCCCTGTGGTGTCAAAATGACTTTTACTACTGTATGTCTGTCTAACTGGCTGGTGACAGGAGAAGAAAGGACATTGTCCAGATATCTATGCCTGTATATCTCAAATATTAACAGATCCTTTTGTTTCTAAAGGAGCTCTTCCTCTGCACCATTTCTGTGGTTACAAATAGATGTTACACAAAAAGGTGAATTTGCTAAAGGTTTGGGGATGGTTGTTTTATAATACTGGAGCCTGTAATTGAGATCAAGGATGTGCTGGAAAAAGACTCGTCTCTCTTAATCAGTGCTGCAGTCTACCAAACTTTGCAAGTCACTGAAAGCAGGTGGTCAGTAGGATTTGGAGAGAAGAGGTGCGTGTAGAAACCATAAAATCAGGAATTATAATGGTGCCAGTGACATGGTTTAGTGAGCCACCGAAAACAGTTGGAAACCAAGTATAAATAAGATGAAGGCAAACATTTTTGTAGCTTAATTTTAAAAATGTGTTTGTATACCTGCTGCTGGTAAGAGAAATTTCATTAAATAACTTTGCTTTAATTTATAGGCTATTGCAGAATTGCAATGATGACAGTCTGAATGTTGCACTTCCTATGAGAATGCTTGAGGTATTTTCATCTGAGAATACGTATTTGCCTGTTCTACGAGATGCTGGCTATGTGGCATCATTAATTGAACAAATTTTGCACTACATGATTCAAAAAGGTGAGTAGCCAGAAACTAGAAGTTCTAGGAGATGCTTAAAAATGGAACAGAATTTATGGTGCCTGAAGACCATGTTGTTTAATCACGTTTTGCCTTTACCGCAGACACAATGAATTATGTTCAGTGCTGCAGACCCTACCCATTCTATACACTAATGTTTGACTGATTAAAAAAAAAGCAGCTTGAGAAGTTGCTGTTTGATTTCCTTGGCATTTTTTTTTTTATAAATTGTATATTTACCAGGTTATTTATGTAGGCTTTTACAACAGAGCCTGAGTTGTTGAATGTTACCTAGCAGAGGTTTGTCCAGCTGCTTTCTTGTAGTAGTTGAGACAAGATAAACTCTTCCTGTCAGGTCTGAGCTTCTGTTGTGTGAAGGTTGGCTGTTCTTCTGCAGCACTTCTGCCTGTAACTGCTAACAAGCATCGTTACAGTAAATTAGCATTAATTTTGTATCCAGTTAAGAGCAGGTAGCGTCACCTGAGCAAAGAGGTGATGAACTAGCTTTTATTTCCCTTGGGTCATCTTCAAGCTTCAGCAGAACTGTTTGCTAAACTCCTGTCAGCTACACCTGTGCAAACCTACCAGAAGTTAATGAGCTGCGTAGTTATCACTGAGATACTGATTTGCCTGCAAGAACCTTTATTACTCTTGGGATGTGTGTTTCTTTTTTTAATGTTTTCTGCTGTCATGGCTTGGTTCACAAGGTTGGTAGGTGGAGAGGAAGGACAAAAGGTCTATGAAATAAACGTATCTCATCCTGTTTCAGTGGTACAAAATGTTAAAAAGGTATTTTCAAATTTGTTTTAAGTTTTTGGAATAATTATGTATTTTTAAAGGTGTTAAACGTGGTCTGAATGTAATCCACTCATCTATCTTATTTGGCTACTGAGGATCTAGTTGTTTACTACTATTGGAGTTATTTTAATACACTGGCAAAAAGTGGCTGTTACTGCAGCACATCTATCTTTACTTCCCAGGCACTATTTAAGTTAGAGTAGCATCTGTGTTTGTCTTCATTGTTTACTATGTGATTAGTGTATCTTCCAAAATACTTCTCTATTTGTTCATGTAGTGTAATACTCATCCCCACAGCTGACACATTAAAATTTATCAAGATGTTAAATTCTAAATTTTAGTCAATAAAACAGATTTCTGGTCATTGATAATAATAATTAAAAAAAAAAGCAGCTGTGTGCAGCAAAAAAAAACCCCTCCTAATAATCTATGATGATCAAGTTGGAAAGAATGTCTAATCAGCCCGTATTAATATAACAGAGAGTCATGGGGCTTCTCCATGGTGCAGCACTATTGACATTCACAGTGTTTTCTGTAGCAGTAGATTTTGTACATTAGAAGTTCATCGAGCACAAGGGCATTGGATTAAGGAAAAGAACAGAGTCAGGTGATTCCTTTTGTTTTTTAGTGTGATAAAAAGAATTTTCTAACAATGGCATCAGATTATCATCTCTACATGTCTTTATGGTAATATAAATGTATAACGTAAAATGTAAAAATACATGTTATTGCTGTGCAGGATGCTCATTTTGGGAGCAGTAATTGTGTTCTCCAGTCTGCTGAAGGCATTTGTAGAATTAAGGCATTTTTTTCAGCAGGACTGTTAGCTATGAAGTTCATTCATGCTTTGGAATAGAGGGCAGCAAAAACTTACGATTTCTGAAAAGGGGGAAAAACAGCTTTTAGAAACATGATTAGGATTGCCTAGAGGAGAAGAAAAACGTATTTTCATAGATTATTGTTTAAAAAGATCAAATTATTCTTATCAGTAGCAGTGGTCTGTCTCAAAAATCAAGCTTATTCTGCATGCACTTAGCTGTGATTTTTGTAAAAGGATGTTTTGAAAGATATTGCTTATATATCTTGTTATTTATGTGAATGTGACCTTGACTGCCTCTGCATTTTAAATGTTTTTTTAAAGTAGAGTTTTCTGAAATGAATACAAGATTTTAAGTTACACATTTTAGGTATATAAGTTTTTCTGTAAACAAACCAAAAAAATAGTATTATCTTTAAAAAGTGGTGTTTCTTATTTGTAGGCTACTACAAGTCGCTATATTTGTTAATTAACAATAAGCTTCCATCAAGTATTGAGTATTCTGATGTTTCTCGAGTCCCTATTGCAAAAATACTTCTGGAGAATGTTCTGAAACCGTTGCACTTTACATATAGCTCCTGCCCAGAAGGTGCAAGGTAAATGAAGATAATATTACATCTTTGTATACTTGTTCATTCTTTTCAGAGTTGCAGACTTTACTGTTGGATGTATATGTATATATGTATAACCATATATGTATATATGGATCATAGAGAACAGCACATATCGCAGTATGAGAAAGTAGAGATGGAAATACATGAAGTGTAGGTGAGATAAACTGAGGTTTTTGAAAGTAAATAACAGTCATAGCTTACAAGAAAAGGCAGGTATGTGGAAGAACAAAAATGAGAATTTAGCTATCACATATGATAGTGTTTTGAAATAGGCTTTGGGGTTAAAATGTGTTTTTAAATATTTCTATAATTTTAAGGGTGTGAGCAGTGACATTTTACTTCAGAATGGTTTTCTGTGAGTTCATTAAAAGTTTAAAGTGATATATAAATTTAAGGGTGAGATAAGAAGCTCAGTTTTGAGAAATTCAGTCTAATCACTCAGTTGGCCCAGAATTAGTGGGATGTGTTTTTTCAGTTTTCTTGATGGACATATTCAGCCTTGCACATTGATGATAATCATTCCATGGATATACTTGTGAGAAATCCTTTCTATAAAGACATTTTTTCTTCATTTCAGGCAACAGATTTTTACAGCCTTCACAGAGGAGTTTCTGGCAGCACCTTTTACAGATCAAATATTCCATTTCATCATTCCAGCGCTTGCTGATGTGCAGATCATTTTCCCTTATGAACTCTTTCTGAATGCACTATTAGTAGCAGAAAATGGATGTTCAATCAAAAATGATCAAGCCCCATGGCTTTTTTATTTCGTTTTAACTGTTGGAGAAACGTACCTGGGTAAGAAAACTAAAAGACCTATTCATTGGTTTTGTTTGTTTGTGTTTGAGTAGTGTCTTGCATATGTGTACATGTCTATGTATACTCAAATATAAAAAAAAATGTACATAATATGGCTCACCGATGAGTGAAAAGGACAGTATGTGGATACAGGTGTTGGAGAGATCTGTTTTATTAGCTACTCTGAAGCTTTTAATGAAAACTTACTCTTATTTGGAGAGGCTTAGCATTTTGTGCTTTGCTCAGATGTTTCTTTTAAAATATATTTTATCTTTAGTAGAGTGTGATCTGGTTAATGGTCTTATTTCCATGCATTTGCCATAGGATCCCTTTCAGAGGAAGGACTTCTTGTATATTTGAGAGTACTCCAAACTTTTCTTTCTCAGCTGCCCGTGTCTACTACTGGTACAAATTGTCAAGATGCAACCAGTGATTCTGAAGATGAGGATGAAGAGATCAGTAAAATGATAACCACACCAGTAAGCATTACAGCATTTATTTGAGTGATTTTTTTTAAATTTATTTTTATTATAGGAATAACAAAAAAATAGGTATGATCATGATCATTTAAAGTCTGCTATTTTTCTAGCTGCTTGTAGACGGAATTATGCTTATTTTGATTTAATTGGGATTCTTAAAATACAGGTAGTATGACTTCCAAAGGATAGGGCTTCACATTTTTAAGCCCCTGGTGACACTAGGTTATAGTGAGGCATGCCAGTCTGCTCTTCCAACTTTGTATTTTCATTTTTTCCTCATGGAAATATCACATGTTCAGCTTAAGACTTTATCTTACTGTCTTGGCTTTCAGTTTAGAAAGCTTGCTACCCTCAAAACATTCAAGGACCGATATACCTTATTTCTGGGATAATGTGTAGAGACTGTAGTTGTAAGTTGGATTTTTGAATGTACTTTAGACATAAAGTATAACTTTCACCAATAAATTGAATCTATACTAACGCTAACATCCTAACATGTTCAGATCAAGGCTTTGAACAACAAAAATTGGAGAGATGTCAGTCCAACAGCTTTTCAGTGGCCTTTCTGTAAACTCCCCAAAGCCAGTCACCATACGGAAGTCTCATGCAGTGTGCAGTCTGTGCATACACTTATTAGTGCATACATTTATTAGTGCATACACTTATTATGCACTGTATGCATTAGCATACATTATACATGTATACATATACATGTATGCATTAGTGCATACACTTATTAGTGCATACACTAATAAGAAATATTTCACTTAAAAATTGATGTATTTAAAGATTTTTCTTCTTTAATCATTAAAAAGGGCAAAGCAGATTCTTGTTCGGTTTGTTTACAGGGTGACGGGAGAATATCAGTTCAATATATAACTGAGGAGTGTCTAAAGAAATTGGATACAAAGCAGCAAACGAACACCCTGCTGAACATGGTGTGGAGAGATTCGGCCAGCGAGGAGGTGTTTACCTTGATGGCATCGATCTGCCACACGCTAATGGTGCAACACCGAATGATGGTGCCAAAAGTCAGGCAAGTAGAATTAGTGAAAATTATAGTAGACCTGAAGTGGGCTTCACTACATAGACTTGCTCTTTCCAGTACCCTGTGGAAATTTTACTGTTTTGTCTCTTTTATCATTAACTGAAATAAATTATAATTCAGAGAAGAACTCCAGATATATCAGTGAGTAGATTTCTTCTTTTGTTCGTTATTCTTCCTGCTCATTGTGCCCTTTCTGGACTGATGAGCAAATCAAAAATTGTGAGTTTTGGGTTTATTTAGTGTGTTGCAGTTATCATTTCATAATGGAGTATTACGTCATATTACATACATACGTTACATACATCATACTGAGTAGTATAGAACAAAAAATGTTTGTCACCAGAAAATCCCACGCAGGTAGCAGAGGCAAAGGTTCTGAAAGTAGTTTTTCCATCCTCTTGCTCAGAGGTAGTATTAAGTGTAATGAAATAATTCTCACAGAAGCTCATCCAACTTCTTTTTAAAACTTTCAGTGCTAAGGAATCCATAAACTGCCAACTATCTGTGCTCTGAATACAGTGATTCCAGGTTGTTCTCCAAGCCTTTTATTGTGTAACCAGAATCTCTCTCACTACAAATTAAAATAATTCCAAACTGTTGACAGTCCTTGTTGTTGTGTGGGAAGGGTTTTGGAGTCGCAAACGAAGGTAAAAGTCTGGCCTTGATCATCTTTACAGCATTTTTTACCAAGGTTACAAAACACAAGTGTCAGTAACAAGGGAAGAAAGTTTTTTTGATCTTAAAATCAAACTAAAGCCTGTAACTATTAAAACTTGTGTGGTGCAAGTTGTTCTGAGTCAGGATATAGTTGCTGGTAGTAAACTAAGTATTTAGGGAATGTTGTAAACATAATCAGTGCGAACTGCTCTGTAAACACTGATACAGAAAACTAATTAGGTGCTGTCTTAGCCCAGTGGTGTTTATGGCTCCTCGAGGAAGTGAGATGTCAGTGAAACTGTGATTGCTCGATTAGGGTAATTAGTTCTTTGTAGACTAATTGCATTAGAGCAGGATGTGAGACCTGAAGATCATAGCAGCAGTTGGATTAGAGCGCCTGCTTTATTGTTGCAAGAAGTACACTGCTTTGGATAGTAATTACTGGATTTAAATGCATCGCTGCTTTGACTTGAGATTTACTGCATGGAAAGGCTGCTTAGTGAAGAGGAGTCCTGCAGGTGGGTATGGCAGTCGTTTCCTCCGAGATACTATTTTAGGTCCTTGTAATAATTTGTGATAACAAGCTAGTTATGCATTAGATAAGCTTCAGAGGTTTTGCAAGCTACAGTGAAATTGTTTGGCATTACGATTTTTGAATAGTTCTGAAACAGTAGAATCCACCCATTTTAGAAATAAGTCACAGAAATATTAAGATTTGTATCATTAATGACAAAGTTTTTACCTAGATAAATTTATTTCACACAGTTATATGTGAAGTTAAAGCAATTCTGAATGCTAAGCCAATGATAAGTGTTGGGTTTAGCAAGCCTAGCCACGTTCTTGGGCATCAGTCTTTCATTCTCTTCAGTCCGTTTTAGACATGTATTATGTGTCTGAGCATTTATTCTAAATATTTTTTTCTGAGAGTTTTTATCTATTAAAGATAATAGACATTGTGCAATTTTGAAGATTTTTTTTAAAGCTCATTTGTTTCCATAAATACTTTTATCTGTCTTTTTTTAATCTTCTCCCCTTTTTTTTATTGCATGATTTTCAAATTTAATGATAGCCCTCAGAAAGATGCTTTGCCTTTTTTGCAACTGCCTTTAAATAAAAGATTCAGAATAAAGTGAAATGTGAAAATCAAGTCATTTTAATATCTTAGTTTAAGACTTCATTTGTTTCATTTGTTTATTTTTACTGATAATTATGTTGAAATTCCCAACTGTGAAAATTTTCAATCCAAATGTTTTATTTTCTGTTAGAGAGATACTAAATGTAAAAAAAAAGGAAATAAACTTGAATATTAGAAAAGAAAATTAGGCAAAGTTTGCACAAGTTTTGAGAGGGAGGAAACACCAATAGCTCTGTATTTTTGTAACAGTTTGGAAGGCTCCCTTCCCTCTTGAGAAACGGTAAGAGGCTCATTCCCTCAGGGCTGTCACCCTGTTAGCGCTGAACACGTTTTCCTCTTGGTGTGTCTTGATGATTTAAATGTCTGATGGCCACCACTAGAGACCAAACGAGATCGGACTAAGTTGCCTAAGACTACCAGAATTTCCATGCTTTTGAGGAGAAAGATCAAGCACCTGTAGTTCCTTTTTAATTCCACGGAGAGTAGTCATGGATTTTGGCTGGAAACATCAGTAGTTACCTTTTTCTCCAAGCAAACATGTACTCTGCTGCTATAATGAACACGCTCTGGGTAACCAGGGAAAGCCTTCTCCAGCTGAAGGTATTCTTGGCCTAGGTAACAGCAGGACATGTTAGTTATATTGTTTTAGATAATGCAAAGTATTTCCTTAATCTTTTGTTGTTTAGTAGTTCTGAATATCCCTTTTGTATTAATTTTGTGTTTTTTTTTGTTTCATACTGTGCTGCCCGATTGATGACTTGTTAATTTATTTTTTCAGTTTATTCTCTCCTTGCACAAATGTCCCGTGTACCTCCACAGCCAGGCACTTGTTTAACCACTGCTCTTCTTTGGTGCTGCTCCCTCCTTTTGCGCTGAGGACTTGAAGTCCTCCATAGGGCTTCAGCTTTAAACCCAACATGAGCCGTGCTTGTACTGTGTGACTTGGGTGGTTATTTTAGCTGTTGGGTGGGTGTATCAGTGCAGTTGTTTGTGTTTTAGTGGAACAGTTTCAGTGCGGTGTGAGGCGAGCAGCCTGCCCGGGTTTGCGCACTCAGGAGATTCAGGCTTTGCACAAAGTCGTGCTAGCCATTCTTCCAATCCCAAACTTCCAACACTCGTCCAAACGTGTTCCGCAGAGACGGACAGAAGCACGAGACAGCTTAAAGAGCAGTATATAGTGCCCTTAATGCATCCTGCCTCTCCCTTACCTGCGACAACTTGAAGAGGTGTCGAAAGCCACTGCCCCGCACAGCGACCTTGACTAGGCCGCGTGAGCCCCTCTCCTCTTGTATCCTCTTCATTAACTTAAATGGTCTCAGTGGGAAACTGGGCCCAATTTATGACCTAGACTGAAAATCTTGCCTTTAACTAATTAACTTGTAGCAGTGCCTTAGCTAAATTAAGCTTAATGGGTCATTTAATCTGTCCCATTGTGCAGGAGGAATTTGACACCTTTTTTTTTTTTTAAACAGAGGTGCCCAAAAATACCTTTCTGGCAAATACACATAAATCACATGGCTTTCGTGAACAATTAGATAACTGCAGAGAGAAGCTGGCTGGTAATAAATGGCCAATATGTTCCTAAATTTGGGAGCAGATAATTTAATTAGCATGAGTAAAATAGACATCTATCAAATTACTGCAGTGAATTTAGTTCTAGCACAGCTTGTGGCTGGTTTGTTTTTCAGCTTGAAATGGAAGCTTATACTTTTCATTATCTGAGGGATATTTTTTCCCCCAAATTAAAATGCTAAGTTTGGATATTAAAGCTTACTGTTAAAACTTACCATTAATGAATCTGTTATGTAAACACCTGTATCATGACCTGTAATATGTAGTGAGATTTTGCAAGAAAATGCAGAACTAGAAGTGGGGGGAGAGAGGGGGATCAGTATTTAATATTTAATTTATTTTTTTGTTTTTTATTTTTTTAAGAATAGCACAAATTATTGAATATGATCCACTGAGATATAAAGATGCAGAGAAATAATATGATTTATAGTGTGTATATATGTGGATTTTTTTTCTTTAAAGTAAAAAGTGATCCAGAGTGTGGTTGTACCACATCTGCAGTGTACATGTAACCTCATTTTCAGGGAAGCACAACATTCCCATCCCAAAGCTGGATGTATTCAAAATTTCTGGAATCAAGCTATGAAATGTAGCAGGTGCTACAGTTGGCTGCCTGAATCACTGATAAAGAATAAAAATGAATAAAACTCAGACATGGGTTATTATTCTGAGCTCTTTGGGTTTGTCCTTTTTTTTTTCCCTTCATTATTGCTGAACATTTTTAGAATGAAAAAATGAATTACATTATGATAGATTCAGTGTCCATAATGTTTGTTCATTTCTGCTAAAACTATTACATAATTTCCAGGGCTGATTGTAAAATTAACAAGTTTTTACTTGGAAACCCTATGAGACCTAAAGGCACTGTGCCAAATTACTTTTCATTTCAAATACGAGGCTGAGAACTGAAGGTCATTGAAGAAATTGTTCATCTTAGAAGCAGAGACATACAAGCTATCATTTGGATACTTAAACATTAAAATAGGAATCCTGGTTCTAAATTAGCTTAATCTAATAAGCCCTTCCTTAAATGATAATGTATACTTTCCACCTATATGTCAAAATAATGTGAATCCAGAAAAGTACAAAGAAAAAAAATTAGATTGATCTATATTTTTTCCTCCAAGTTTTAAGATAAAAATTTCACACACTTAAAATATGATTAATTTTAAAATATACTTTTAAAAGATTTTTGTAAGGCTCAAAGAGCCAATAAACTAGGAGCCAGAGGCGTATGTTGCTAGGAAATGTTTCTTTGTGTGTGGCTGCACGGATTTGTCTTTTGCTTTTAAATCTTAAATGAATTGCTGCTTAAATATTTTTCAAATATTTTTGAATATTTGTTGCATATTTCACTGTTTTCCTTAGTGAAACATGTGCTTCCTTGCCTTTTGCCATCTGGCATATTTTCCTTAGTCCATGTGGTCCTCAGTAAATAATGTTTTCTCAGGCAGACCTTCCAGTCTCCCCTCTCTGCTCCCATTTCCCAGGTTCCAGTGTGCATGAGTATGAGGAATTTTGGTGCTATGAGGCTGTTTCTGACAGGAGACATGGGTTGAATGGCAGCTTTATCATTTTTATTCTAATAGTAATTAGGAGACTGTAGAAAGTAGCATTTAGAGTTGCCAACTGAATATAATACTTTAGTATCAGGAAAAAAAGAGGAAAAAAAAAGAATTATTATTATTTTTTTGAAGGCATTGTGTTTAAATGATGTTGGTTACATATCTTGCTTCCTGTTGGGGAAAAAAGTTCGAGGAGATCTTTTGATTTGAGAAAGCTTTTTATTCCTTACTTATGCAGAAGGATCTGTTAATCATGTCTAGAATAATATAATGAAATTTGAGTCTGTTTAGAAGTGGTTTGTGACCCTGTGCGTTTATTTTTACATATGTTGTATCAAACATTTCATGCCTATGGGTGGATTAGTGCGTCGAGGGGGGGGGCACTGATTGCTGAATAAGGACATAACTAATTATTAGGACAGACATCGTCCCCCTGAGTTGTAGTATTAATGTCTGACATTCGTGTATTTTTACACATGCACATATATATGTAAAATTGTTTTATAAAACAACTGTTTCCTGAATAAATTTTAAGGTAGTTATTTGACTTAAGCTAAGATTATTGTGTTTATTAAAGTCAAGTGAATGACAGAGGAACTTATTAATTAGTACATTAGAATTAAAAATTAGAAAAATAAATTGGATTTTAAGGTATGTTATATTTAAAAATGTGTTTTGTGGGTACGTGACTTTAGGAGATAAAAATGTATTTGGTCTTTCTCTTTCAGACTTCTGTATAGTTTAGCCTTCAATGCCAGATTCCTGCGGCATCTTTGGTATTTGATATCTTCAATGACTACACGAATGATTACAGGGTACGTGTAACACCACTGCAGCAACTGAGTTGTTATTGAAATGGAGCATATCTGGTGGAAAGGACACAGTTGGTGGCACCGTGATGGTAGTGGAAGAAAATTGAAAGCAAGTCTCTCATGTTTTATTTGGTTCCTTTTTCCTTGAGACTTTGATTCCATAAAATGGAGCAAAATTTCAGGAATTGCTCTGTTGTAAATAATTACAGATTTTAGAACCTTTCTTTTAAATGATACAAGTGTCTTGTAGTTTTTAGATTGCTTGCTACAATCAATATAATAAATACTGAAAAGAAACAATTTTATCTCTTGATTGAAGCACTCTGATTAGTCCCAAAGTCAGTGGGAGCTGAAGAGTGCTCCTAGGAACTACAAATTTGCACCATGCTGATATGCAGATTATTTAATCCCCCTTTGCATCAGGTGTCTGCTCTAAAACAGAAAAAAATGTGCAGTCTGTTACCAGTGTGAGGAGTTAACAGTTAAAATATAGTTGTTAAAATTATATATATAAGCTAATGTGTTTCAAGACACAGAGATGCTATAGCAACAGGAACCACTAAAGAATAATTTATTTTGCAGGAACGAGACATAATAGTTAATAAACTGAGAAAGAATTGTCCTTATTTTGTTTTATAGTTACTACTTTTTAGTAGAATGCTGAAGTTAAAACTTTTAAAAAAGTGAATAATTATCAACCTCTTATTTTGTATTTTATATTTTAAGGTCTATGGTGCCACTGCTTCAAGTGATTTCAAGAGGCTCTCCAATGTCTTTAGAAGACTCTAGTCGAATTATCCCTCTCTTTTACCTTTTTAGTTCTTTGTTTAGTCATTCACTTATTTCTATTCACGATAATGAATTCTTTGGTGATCCTATAGAAGGTGAGAGTTTCAAGCTTACTAAATAGCAGAACTTTGCAAAATGTTTTTGTGTAAGGCTGCTTGAACATGAGCCAACACATTTTAAGGAGCACTGGACAAAATTTGTGCTGTTCTGTTGCTTCTGCATCGTTCCCTGTCAGTAAGCAAGGTTGTTGCCCACCTCCTAGTTTTCCCAAAAGGTGGAGATTTTTTCATGCGATGGCAACGGGGCAGTTCTAGCACAAACATCCTGCCATCATCTCAGTTTGTCCAGAACCACCCAGCAGCAGCAGCTGAAATTTAGAGCTTTAGGGCTCCCTGAGCACCGATTTGGTGACATCTGTGGGGGAGGCTCCCGGGGCTGATGTGCTGCCAGGCCCCGAGTGCTCTGCTGCCAGCTGGTTCCGTCGTGATGGCTGCGTTTGGAAAAAGGGAAAACTGATGATCTGCACCTTGGGAACCCCGGCTTCACTGAGTCCCATGGGGAAGGTCTTATTCATGATGATTTTTAATGACTTAGTGAAGTCCTTCTGACTTGGATTGGTAGACTAACTTGAATATTAACTGAGGAGATAATAATAAAAAAAAGAATATTGTAATTAAAATAAAGAACAAAAAAATTGCAATTAAAATGACAATGGCTTCTGATATATATATATATACACAATTATAAGTGTATATGCATTATCATCATCATTATTATTATTTTGGATATCACTTCTCTGCTTTTGCCATGTGTATGTTTGTGTGTTACAATTTCTGTTAAATAATAAGTGTTTGTAATTACAAAATGATTAGAAATGGCACTTGAAAGAAACATAAACTTGTGCTTTATGTAGTTGTAGGTCAAAGACAATCATCAATGATGCCTTTTACGTTAGAAGAGCTAGTAATATTGTCACGCTGCCTTCGGGATGCATGTTTAGGAATCATCAAGCTGGCTTACCCGGAAACCAAGCCCGAAGTGCGCGAGGAATACGTCGCAGCCTTCCGAAGTGTCGGAGCCACAAAGAACACGGAAATGCAGCAGTGTATCCAGACGGAACAAAAGAGATGGATTCAGCTATTTAAGGTGTGTCAGTGGTGGATCAATGTGAAATAACGGTTTCAGGTTTCTCTCTGCTGATAATGAGACACTGGGTGAATTTTTTATAGACTTTTATCGTAATTGTTACCAGAACGTGTGGATTTTAAAATGGGCATTTGGGAACATGTGCCAATATTCAGAGTAACTTTGATAAATATGATACATGATCTTTTCTTTTGCGTTTTGTCTTAATTTTGTTTTCCTGCTCATTGTGTTTATAAAGAAGTTGCTATATAGAATATTGTTTTTAACCTGGCCTCTGATTCATCAAGGCTCTTAGCTGCAGAAAGTTAATCACATGGACGATCTCACGATTCAGAAAGAATTTTAAGCCAGTACTTTGATGTTAGAGGCTTCACTAAATTGATCCTGTGCTGCTGCATGGATTTTGTTGCTGCCGTACTAGAATATGCAGGTCCAGCTCCTTCGCCACTTGCTGGAATACCAGCGGGTGATGGATGAGGCTTAGCAAATGCGAACTTGACATATGAGATTTCTAGGTACCTAGCAATGTATTTCTAGCAGTTTTATCCGTGGCAGCCCACGACATGAGTTAAGGGAAGCTGAAAATATTGGCAGGAAAAGCCTTAGAATAGAACTATTGCTGGAAAAAAGGGGAGTGCTTGACTTGTCATGAAAATTCTGCAGCAAACACATCTAGTCAGCTAAAATTGCTCATTAAAGAAGTGGGAGCAGGAGAAATGCATTTTCCAAATTGAATGCTAGATTTACAGTCCGTTTAATACTGGCGACCTCTCGCACACTAATGTTCAGTTCGAGTCATCAGCTGTCCCTTCAGGTCTTTTATCACTGCTTTTGTCAAGCTATCTATTTAATTGAAAGAAGTTAATTGAATGAAAATGATCAACTAAGCTTGTATTAATATTGCTAATGGAACTTTCTTCTTGGCCATGTTTGGAGAAAGATGTCATGCTAGACTTTAGGAAAGGCCCATTAAGGCTTGCACTTAACCTGATGGGCTAATTAAGGAATGCTTATTCATTCTACAAGGCTAAGATAGCCTCTATCCAGCCTATTCTGCCTGATTTTACAACACATTTCACTTATGAGCATAAGCATTAATAGCTGTGAGAGTAACTGATAATGTTTTGATTGCATCGAATACAGACCTAATGCATCACTGAATCTGTAATTTGCAAAGATGGATCTAATATATGTTTGCACTGTTTAATTTAATTACTTGTCTTTAAATTGCCAAATAAACTTTCGATTTAAAGGTCGCAAGTGAGAAACCTCAATATGTCTATTCTTATAAGCTGGACAGCATGCTAGGGGAATGTTTATGTATTAGAGCATACCACCCTCTATTTTCTTTAGTTTATCATGTTTAAGCAGCTTTTTACTAGCCCCTGGCTTTTTGGATGTGTCTGGTTATATTTGCTTTTATTCAGGCAGGTGGCTGTTAAACATCGAGTTACTGTTTCACTTTGCCAGGCAGCTGTTAAACTCTTAGTGCAACTGTCTAAACTTGGTGTATTCTCAGGGTCTTCAGGGGGAGAGGTTTCCTCCATTAGCTGTAAATCTTGACGATATCTTAAATGCTCTGTTTCTCCCTAGAAATGTAGCAGATAAAGCTTCACTTGTTAGAAATTCAATGCAGCTAAATTCAACTTATGTTATCGGGAGGAATCCTGCAGCGAGCCTGTCTGGTGGCATCACCAGGGGGCTTTTTTGTCAGGGAATGGGCAGCAATGTCTTCCAACAAAAAAATGGAAACCACTCTGGGGTAATTTGTCATAAATTTAAGGCCTCAGAAGAGATGAGAGTTTCCTTTCTTGCGTTATGTCCAAGATGTGCCAAATTTCTCTTTTAAAGCTGTTGCTCCCAACCTGCTGGGAGAAAGGCCCAGTCCTCTCATATGATCTCGACTCCTAATTTCTCCTGCTTAATTTAGCTGTCCTCTATACTCCTCATGTCTAAAGAAATGCATTCCATGTATACGAGACCTGCTTGTGTGAAGTAGTGGTAAATCTGAAATCAGTGAGACTGCCTGTTTCAGATTTGCTTGTGAAAATGTCTTTATTCAGCAGAATGTCCTTTTCTTGCCTGCGATTGTAATACTGAGATAGTGTAGTTGCTGTTAACGGTTGCATAGAAGGTCGTTAAGTTAAGGGTGCATGAAAACAGGCCTTGTCAAAGGAGAGAATGACAAATTTTACAACAAAATCCTGAGTTCTACTTGCTGGGTTCTCCCTACCTGTCTGTTATGTAGAAGGGAACCCCAGTCTCCCCTAATCCCATGCAGCTTTCTCGAAGGCATCTCTAGCTCTGTTTAAAACGTTTTGCTCGCATGGTCTTCATGGGGGTATCTTTTGGGGGATTTTTTTTTTCCCAGTCTGATGGTAAAGGAATTGCAGAGTTTTAGTGACTCATCTGAGCAGCAATGAATTTTATAAGAGCAGGTGATGAAAATTCCTGTGTAATCACCCAGTTCCTAAATAGCATTCTTGTTCTTTCTGCCTCTTTTTCAAGATCTTACTTTACAAACTGGGGTCCTAAAAAGGCTTTTGTTCGGTATCTGGAAAGGCCCATTAAACTCCTTGGTTCTCTAGACACCTGCCCATTAAGACTGTCTTTCAGCAGGATTATTTTGGAAACACTTCCTGTATTTTTCCCCCCATTCATTTTTCGAATGCTGTGGTTCTAAGTTGCAAAACAGATGTCAGTGCCTAGCAGTGGTGATTTCTTTAGACTAGTGATTTATACTTGCATGGATTCCACCTAATTATATTTTATTTAGTGTTGAGCTAAGCTGATTCCCTCTTACGTGTGTATGTGCGTATATACATTATATATGTATATATACACGTATATAAACATCTTTGGGGAGAATACATGCAGCTAACATGACAGTTTGCTTGTGATGTTGTGATGGAGTAGTCATTAACTCAGTATCGCTACTTTTATTTTTTCTGCCAAGGACTTTATTAAAACTGCATAGACAACCAGTAAACCACGATGAGCACATTTTCCTATCTCCCAATCTTGTTCCACACATACTCCTGAATTAATTTTCTGCTAGCTTGTTTTCTCATATTTTGACTGGTGTAATTTGAGCCCCTTGTGAAATAATATTTATTTAACCTTCACAGTCACCTAAGCTACTGTGCTGTGTTCTTGCTGGTGTGGAGTAGATGGGCACATCTCCGTGTTGAGAAGGACTTACTAATTTTATTTAACACATTTTCATTCATAAATAACACTGTGATAATGAGGTAATCATGTAAGGATTGTATAGAAACAGAAATTATGAGGTACAATTTATTTGATAGTATTGGTGGTTACTTTTGGATAAGAACACTTTTTTTTGTAGATAGCTTTGAAAACACTGACAATGCACTCTTTGAAAAGAAAAGGAAGCTATGGTGTCTTATTTTCCAATATAAAGCTCTATAAAAATATTTGTATTTGTTTTCCACCTGGAAAATTCCCAGTGTCTAATGCCATACACCGTAAGCAGACACGATTTTTTTCTGAGGCAGTTTTAGATGGAAATGCTGTAGGTTGTCAGTGCAGCAGCCAGCAATGACAGCTGCAGTCTTGCACGTGCTGTAGAGATGGGACTTTTGCTGTCACCTTGCATGGCCAATTTAATGATTTGCTTCATTTTCCTCTACCTTCCAAAGCTGATGTTGTCTTTGGGCAATTTCTGATGTCTTTTGTCATTAAATAGCGTATCAAATGATCTCGTGCAAGCTGATTAAAGTCACTGACTGTAGGCAGAAATATCCACTGTTTGTTAGTTTGCCATAGGTTGCCAAGTGTGGAATGGAACATGATCGTTGTTGTCTTGAAGTTAAAAGCAAAATATCCATTCTTAAAAAGCCTCTGGAAAAGAGTCCACAGAAATTTAGGAATTCTTCCTTTTATGGGCAAAGAAAACTCCTTCAATAATAATAATAATAATAATGACCCAATTAAATGCTGTTTTTTTTAAAAGAAGTAATACAATGTTGGAATGATTTGTCGTATGCCTGAACTATAGCATATAACTTTTTAAATGTGAATTGTAGTCCTAATATGTGGAAGAAGGTTTTAATAAAGCAATTTTTGGATGACTTATGATTGAATGAATTATGATTGAATGATTACTTAACATATTCTAAGATATTTAGGTATGAGAACAAATTTTTAGCAATAAATAATAATTTATCCCCCTTAGGGTTTTACTTGTAGATTTGTAATAGAAAGGTAACGCATAGTTTCATTCACAGTGCTAAATATATATTGAATTTTATTTCTGAAAATGTATTTCTTATACCTAGGTCATCACAAACTTAGTGAAAATGTTGAAATCCAGGGATACAAGGAGAAACTTCTGCCCACCAAATCACTGGCTGTCAGAACAGGAAAACATAAAAGCAGATAAGGTAAAAGTAATATTTTTTTTTCTCACATAGACTTATCGGTGCTGAAGCTTAAATAGTAAATTGTTTGATTTATGATAATATCTTCCTTTGATATGAAGCTTACGTTTAAAATAAGATGTTAGTTACACCTATTAATCAACCTTTAGAGTAAATGATATAATGTATCCAGAAAGCAAAACTGTGCTCTACTTTGCAACAGTATAGTTCTTCTTTAGTTATAGTAAAAGGGAATGGAAAGCACATAATAGTGTCTTATTTTCCAGTTATTTTGAGCGCTCAAAATTACTAAATGAAAGAATTATTTTGTAGTGGGAAAAAAAAACCTTCAAAAATCTCTTTCCAAAAATAAAATATAGTAGCAAAGACTGCTGGACTTCATAGTTAATGTATGTACTTAATACTTAATTAGACAATGTTTAACTGTAAAATACTTTTAACTAGGTTACCCAACTGTATGTGCCATCTGCTAGACATGTCTGGAGAGTCAGAAGAATGGGAAGAATAGGACCTTTGCAGTCCACCTTGGATGGTAAGATAGGATTTCTTCAGTGTTTGCCTTATGGTGTAAAAATAATTCTCTGCCTTATGACTTTTTGGAGTACAGTTGAATAGTTTCCTTTAAAGACAGAAATGAAGCAATCTTTTATAATTTTGTGCTCAGTTATTTTTAAAAACACGCGCATTATGTGCGTATACCTGTGCATGTGCACGCAGTCTGTAATGTGTGTTTTCTTCCGGGAGGAAAGCAAGGCAGCACTGCACAGCTTGCCCCACAACTGAAAGAAGTCAAATAAGGAGGTGTGCCAGTAATATGTACTAAAAATGTGTACAAACATATATAAAATACAGTTGCATAAGATATAAAATACATAAAGTTGCATAATTTATAAAATACTGGGGTTTTATGGTCACAGTATATTGTGAAGAAACTTATTATATATTAAGCAGTAATAAGCAAGCTTTTAAGTAATTTTGTATGACAATATTTTATTTATACTGTCCCTAATAATTTAAGGCAGAAACTGATCCTACGGAGGCATTGAAAAAATCCAGACCCCATGAAAACTCAACTGTCAGGGTCAATCTACTGCGCACCTTTGCTTTCTTGTGTAGATAGTTTGTTTGTTCCTGCTTTTCAGACCTCTGCATCTTCATGCTTTAGAATTTTACCTTGCTTATTTCATTTGAGTGAAATAATCATTAAAACAGTCATTCCTATGAAAGAATCAATCTGTGAGAGTTCATGCTCTCACTCAAAGTGCATCTTGAAAATATGAGATCTACTGAGATTGAGTAGGTTTCGCACATAAGAGTGGAGTCTGTGGGTTATTTTAATGATAAATGGTATTTATTTAGCTGTGCTGGTGTAAGGTTGCTGGTCTGTTCAATAGGTAATGACGTGTTGGTCTGGGGTAAGTACTACTTAGAAGTTTGAATCAACTTTTTTTCAGTTTCTTTTTTGTCTGGAAATTACTTATTCCAAGTTACTCGGAATAGGCAATTCTGAGTTTGCCTTGGAAACAGAAGTTTTAGGGGAGAAAAAAAAAAAAAAAAAAAGAATTTGGGGAGGATCCTCAGCACTCTCCTTGCCTCCCTTTCCATGAGAGCACCCGTTTCCTCTCTTCCCCGATTGACCTTACTTGGGGCAGTTGGTGAACAGAAACACAGGCGCTCCGGCTGTTCTGTAGCTACCTCTGTGAATATTGCTGCCTGACAGCAACCTTCTGGCTGGTGGACAAGCTGACTCACTGAACAGGGCGGATAGGAGCTGAGCTCTCTGTGCTGCCTCTGTCATCAGGCCACTAAAGGAATTTCTCTCCTCCACCCACCTGCAAATAGTGACAGAACTTAATATTTCTGAATCTCCACTTACTCTGTCGGTGTTAAAATCAGGTTGATTGGCCCGAAAGACATGTTGGAGGGGAGATGATGAGGAAGAGTGACACAGCATGGTCATATAAACCTCATTCCCACAAGAAATGAAGCTTAAAAAAAAAAGGGCAGTCAACATGACTGCGTGGAAGGAAGCCCATAACAACGTGCACGTGGCTTGAAACCCTCCTGACTCCATATGGGTTAAAGCCAATTAGTGTGAAAGTCCCTGCTGCATCACATATGCTGCTGTTTATTTGGGCTTTCTCATTTACTTCCACGGCAGATTCTTGGGTTCTAAATGCCCTCTGGTCTGATGGATCCGTCCCATATTTCTCTTCAAGGAAAGAAGCTGTGTTGGAGAAGTGCAGATAAAATTGACTAATTGGCTGGAATAATTGAACTGTTCAAGTCATGTACTAGTTTACCTTTGCTGCACATGCACTTTTTATTTAAAATGCTTTTAACCCTTAGCTTAATAGGTAACATGCATTGACTTTAATTAAAAATGTTTACTAAGTAAACCAAGGGTGACCACAGATAAGCATTTATCAGAGCTCCCTGTGGCTTGCAATGTTGAAATCAGCCCTAAATGAGTATGCATCAAGTATAGTGATACATCGGGTCATGTCACGTTAACTTGGTGCTTAAAATATTCCTATTTCAAGTGCTGTAAAGAATTAAAATTCGGAACCATTAAATAATGAACACAGAAGTGATGCCCAGCTCCAGGAGGGCAGCAAGACACCAGTCTCCACAGGGAGACGCAAAAGGAAAACTGAAGCAGTCTGAGCTTTTGGCCTGAGTAGTAACAGGAAGCAATTACTTATTTTTTATGATAACTTTCTATAAACGGTCTAGGTTTTGTGAGCTTTTTTTTTCCTCCCTCTGTAAAGAATGTTCATAAAATATAAGCATGAAAGAATGAAACACACTGTCCTTTTTCTCTTTAAGCAAGGTGGACCTTTAGGCACAATACCCAGTTAGTGAGCAACACCAGTGCTGCAATTAATAAATTTACAATCAGATCCATGTTCAGCAATTATTTGACCCATTTAGATAGGCAGGACTCTGGCTTCTACTAAACATTATCCAGAGGTGAAATGTTTAAGAATTTCCTTTCTTCTGTGTAGAGGAGTGTCCACAGGGGCTGCGTGGTGCCTTGGGAACCCAACTCTGTGGCTTCCTGAACATTTTTCTAATCCTCCTGTTTCTTTCCTTGCTCAAGTTGCATCATTTCTTTATGTTCTTTTTGCTATTTCTATAGTGACTAAAATTTAATATGATAACTGTGTCCCTGCTGTTGGGGGAACAAACTCATTGAAAGGCAGGTTGTGTTTCTGTTGAGTTCATCAGATTTAGCTTGCTTTGGGGCCTAGACTGGAAAAGGTGAATGCAAGTAGATTACTCCATTGAAAGCACTTTTAAATTATTGTGATTATTGGGATGAGGATAGTGTGTATTCTTACAGTGAAGATCATAATTATTCACAATATTTTAATTGTTTCATATATTTTTTCTTGAAAAAAAAGAAAATTTCATTCATAGCAAAAGTAACTTTTTTCTTCTGAACAAGATTGAAATGCAAGAGTACCTGCTTTTACACACATTTTGTTTTCAGTGTGTTTTCAGTGCTTGCATTGAAGTTTGTCTGTTAGAAGGTAATGTTTAAAGAAAATGTCTTAAGTCTTAGTAAGTAAATTGTATTAATGTGTGTGTTTTTATATGAAATAAACTGAATCAATCGAGTAAATTGAAGAAAGTTACTTGTCACAGAATAACCTGTTTTAAAACGAACTGTTCTTTCCAAAAATCATAAAGTTACTGTTTCTCTTTTAAGTGGGTTTGGAACCAGCACCTCTTTCTGTGTCTGAAGAACGACAACTTGCAATTCTGACAGAGCTGCCTTTTGTAGTTCCTTTTGAAGAAAGAGTAAAGGTACTTAATTTCTAATTTAATGTGATTTAATGTGCACTTGTTTGGTTTTTGATTTTTTTTTTAATTTGTTTTTGTTTTACACAGAAAAGAGTTTGTTGTTAGGTCTGTCTGGGTCAAGGTGTCTCATCTGGAAGTGCACGTTTGTGTTCGTGATTAATCTGAGCTCTTGATGTGTGTAAGCAGTGCAGCTCTTACTGGAGCACCCAGATTTAATTTCTTCTGAGTTTTCCTTCTTTTATTTGTTACCAGGACCTTAGCAGTGCTTTGTAGTGCGTTTTTGTGCACCCGGCAAAAAGGCTAGAAGGAGACTGTCCCTGTCCTTTCTCATATATTTCTGTAGGGTAAAGCTATAGTTTGTACTGCAGTCAGCATCTCTTGCCTTTTCCTCATTGGGAATGCATCAGTTACACACTGGGGCATATATTTCAGGATTTTAAAATACAACATATTTTCACATTTACATGTGCATGGATGTATGCAGTCCAGTGTTTAGCAGTCTTGTCTCTGTATCATGAAGAATTTTGCCATGATATCGACCCTAAAAACTTTCTTTCCAGCTGTCATTTGTTGTGTAGCAGTGCTCATGAAACTATCCAGCCATATGCTTCTGCAGGAAAGAGCATGGTGGTGAACATATTCTCATGTCTCCTTCATAAAAAGCTGCTGGCTCTGACCGTGCACCTTAATGTCACCGAATTGTAGAAGAATTTCGGTCAGAGGGGCCTCTGAGGGTTCTTTGTCCACTCCCTCCTCCAAGCAGGAGCAGCTTCAAAGTTAGATCCGGGTACTTGAGGTCTCACCCAGAGCAGTTTTAGTAATACTAAACTTTAGCGTGGCAGTGCTAAGTGAATGCAACATAAATACAATGCAATACACATACATTATGAAATATACTTATAATATGTAAGTATGTAAATGTATAAATATAAATTGTTGGCAAATGCATTAAGTTCTAGATGAGTTCTAGCACACCTGCTCCCTCCCCTTCCTGGGATGTGGCTCTGTAATGGATTCCTGCAGCTTTGTGGCAGACAGGAGCAGTCACTTGAAAGTGGGTTCCCAGGATCAAGCCTCAAAGGATAGTAGTGCTGATGAACAACCATTTATTTCACTGAGTATTTAGATGTGTGCGATGACTCTGTTTCTCTTTCCACTCATTTTGTCAGATTTTTCAAAGATTGATCTATGCTGATAAACAGGAAGTTCAAGGAGATGGCCCCTTTCTGGATGGAATTAATGTCACTATCAGAAGAAATTATATTTATGAAGATGCTTATGATAAGCTTTCTCCTGAAAATGGTAGGTTTGCAATGAATTTATAAGCAAACTGATGATAAAGTTCTCCATCATTCTTACTGTGTTGCTACAGATCTGTCATTTCTTCAGTTCACTTAAGGTAATTCTCATCGAGATTCTGATTATTGTGGTTTCATTCTCTTTAACACGATTTCCTTAGTTCAGACCAATGTTTTATGAGACTTTTCTTCTCATTTATTTATCCGATTTGCCATGTTTTGTATATTCATCCATCCAGTTCATTAGATATGATCTTAGCTAATCAGGATCCACACGCCCCGTGTGCAGTCCAGATATTTTTCTTAGGTGCAGTGGGGCTGACGGGGGTCACGCAGTGCACTGAATGCCACTGCATGGGTGTACATCCAACCTCAGCATGGATTTGTGCAAGAACAGCTGCTCCAGAAGCCAAAATTCCAGTCTGCCTATAGAAAATCCGTGCTTATCTAGGTGTATATATAAATAATTTTGGCCATGTACTTGGCCGTACTCTAGTAGCTCAGTCTCGCCTCCGGTGCCTCTTAAGTTCCCTCCTGGAGAACAACCCAACTTGGAGGAGGAGAAGGTGGTTGGTATTGGTTTGTATAAAATTACTGGAGCTCGTAACTCTCCTCCTTCACCTTTACTTTGACAGAAATATAGTATTTTATTTATAAATGGCATTTCTTTCATTTATTATTTATGCTTAAAACCATAATAATACCTAAAAGAGATACCTAAAAGAGATGTGGACTGACTTGTTCATAAATTTAGATTAAGTACAAACAATAACCAAATACTACATTTTGTAGATAGTTTTAAAGGCTAAACAGGAAGATATCCATGAATAAGCATCTCGATGCTATATGTGCTAGTGACAGTGTAGCCTTTTTCCTAGAAATAAAGAATATTTTTGTTGTATATGAATTTAGTCTGACTTGCTAACTGGTTGGCTCAAAACAGATGAGCTGGAATAGAAAACACGGAGAAAATGAGCCAGTTCTCCCTTATCACTTCCAGTAAATGAAGCTGTGGGTTATAAGCTCCTGGATGATGCAGTGCCAAGGAAGAGGCAAATCAGTCCATTAGCTATATGCATAAGGAGGTGGTTAATAATAAGTTAGCCTTAAATGATAAATATGTTTTGGTACTGTGAAGCAGTCAGCGTAATTGCAGGAGTTTTATTTAAAATATGAAAGTAGTTTTCAAACACAGGTCTCCTAAACTCAGCCTACTGATTGATGACCTTGGCATTGGGATGTAATTCACGTTTTTTTTATGAAGTTTACAGAAAGTAGTAAATTGGGGGAAAGAGTCAATGTGCTAGAAGGCCAGGTTGCTGTTCAGAGGGACCTCACAGAGCGAAGAAAAGGATGTACAAAAACGTAGTGAAGTTTAAAGAAGCAAAAAAAAGCAAAATCCTGTAGCTGGGATGGATTTACCCTGTGCAGCAACACGTTAGGGTAGCTGGACCCTAAGCAGCTAGAAGGGGTGGCCAGGAAGGACCTGGGGTTTATAGTGAACAACACAGTGAACGAGAGCCTGGAGTGCCCCCTTGATGAGATAAAAGCTCACAGCAAAACACGCTCTGTAGAGCAGAGCCAGCATGTTCAGGGAGGTGACTTTTTTTGTTATTTTTGTCTTTCTACTCTTTTTTTTTTTTTTTTAGGCACTCTTACAGCAGCACCCATGTACAGTATGTGGACCCATTCTACATACTGAATAACGAAACTATCCCCAAACTCGAGCTAGTACCGATTTCTGCAAAATTTCTGTTTAATACTTACACTTCTAATAGAAAAACTGTACATATACATTTGAATTAAGGAGCTGTATGTGTTTTCATCTAATGGAAATTCACACAGTTGTGTACCAGCCTTTCCTTGCTTCTTCTTCAGAACCCGACCTAAAAAAGCGCATTCGTGTTCACTTGCTTAATGCACACGGCCTTGATGAAGCTGGCATTGATGGAGGCGGAATTTTCAGAGAGTTCCTCAATGAACTGCTTAAATCGGGATTCAACCCCAACCAGGGCTTTTTTAAGACCACCAATGAGGGACTTCTTTATCCTAATCCTGCTGCACAGATGCTTGTTGGAGACTCCTATGCCCGACATTACTATTTTCTTGGAAGAATGCTTGGAAAGGTAAAAACACCATTGCATGAAATATAAAGCTATGCAGAAATTGTTCAGTAGTGCTGTTTATTTTCTTTTTTATTTTATTTTTTTAGATAGAGGTAGATGGGAAATGCGATTGTTTCTGTAGGTTTGAGGAAAAACTTTTAGATGTTGGATGTGAGCGTTATATCTACTTGGTATCCAAACTTTTGGTTCATTATAATTAATACTCAAAGGAAAGGAAGCTTTTGGACCTTAACTGACAGTTGAGCAACTTGTGTCCATGTCTGTTCTGTGCTTATCGTCTTGCCTAAAGCTAATTTAATTGATGCCAATGGAGTTAGTCTGAGTGTGGTTATTTTTAATGTAGAGCCTTCTGGAGCTTGACTTCAACTTTGTTTGCATCATTTTGAATATATGAAATTAATCTTTGCAGAAACAGATTCCAGTTGTCACGAGGTTATTGCTAACGTTGCTCACTGTGATTGTTTACTGTATTTATGAGCCACGTGCAGCTTGACTTTCACTAATTCTGCTGGTTTATCATATATTTTGCATATTTCTTGAATTTTAGTGCTTGGCATTTTGGTTCTGAAGAGATTTGAAGACTAATATACTAATAATTGAGCTAGATGGAAAGTTACAAAAATGAAACTATTACTAACATGTTTGTTTTGTTTTTATGGCAGCTGTAGTACTGAGGGTATTTCTTTTTAAGCCCTTGAAATAATTTTTTTTGCTAGTAATATAGAAATGTAGTTACAATCCAGGTTCCATTTCAGAAAGATGTATTGATTGCAACTTCAGTATCTAAACCTGAAGAAATTTAATATGCCAAAATCACATTTTAACTCCTTAAATATTTTTGAGCCTAAAATCCTATTGACTCATGATAAATTTAGCATAGACCTGGACATCCTTCTTTAATCTAGGTCAAAATAAGAGGGTGTTGTTGACAAAGGTGAGTTGCTGAAGCAGATCTCTGCTCCTTAATATCACCAGTGGGTCCATTTAGATCAAATTGCAGCTTCGTGGGCAACTTCTGGGCTGGCCTCCCAGCTATGGCAACGTGCAGACCTGGGATATCAGGAAAATTTCAAGTCGACCATTTCAAGAAAATCGTCTTTAAAGGGTGTGTCTGCTCTTAATGGGAAGGAGACTCAGTGCTAATAGCTCATGACTCTGACCACCCTGGTAGCTTCAAGGCTTCATCTCCTTTCTGCTAAGAAGGAGCCAGGACTCAGCTGTCTGGGGAAAATTGGAAAGGTTTTCAATGGAATGATTGTGGTTCAGAATCTCTCCATCAAAACAGCACCGTGTCTTTTACAACTGGACTTCAGTGTCAGTGTAAAGAGAGCAGTGGCAAAACATGTTTTATCCCTCCTACAAGTGCAGTTTGATTTTTGCCTTTTGAAAATCAGAGGGTCTATTATTTAACGCTTTGAAAGCATAAATTGTTTTTGTATTTGCAGTAAGTTTACATAAGGAACGAATCGACAGTGGGGTTTAACAATTAGCTCTGCCCAGGTGCACAGACACCTTTTTCCTGGTGTATTCAGAGAGCTGGTGAATTAAACAGAGAGATAAGGCACGAGTGCACGATGGGGAACTGCTGGGATTGGGGTCTTGGTCAGGTTAGCAAATAGGCGCTCACCCCTTCTCCAAGATATGCCCGTTTTGTGCTTTGCACGGGGTATTTGGGAGCAGTGGTACGTGATGAAAAGCCCCTTGGTAAACAGGAGAGATCGGATGTGGAGGAAGCAATCAGGCATCCGCAGCAATGTCGTGGTTGTGGAAACCACAATGCAAAGAGGGCTGCCACCCCAAACTCTCGCTTAAGAAGCTTCAGTGTTATCTGAAAACAAATACATTAAAATATAATAATTTACATAAATTCTCTGTCTCCTGGTAACCATTTCATACCAGTATCTAAATGCATTTCACTTACAGGACCTTGGATTTATAGCTAAGTGATTCTTTTTCCCCCCCTCATCACGAAGTTCTTAACAGCCTGACATCTTTTATGGGAGTTGATAGGTTAACAAATAGAATTATCTACCAATTTAAAACTTATCTTTTAGAAATGATCTATCTAAAAGTTATTTTAACTATAGATAAATTACTAACTCTTTAGGGTTGTATTTTTTATACAATATCTTATAGATTTCAAATTCTGCACAAGTTGGGTGGCTGTCCCTGCAACTTTTAGTGATTCCTAAGCGAGCAAAGGTCTTGTAGAAATAATACCATGAGATTATGTAATTGCACATATTGTCTGGAACTGTTCTTAAAAAGAAAAGAAAAAAAAAGGACAGAAATGAGTTTGCTCGAACCAACAGCTACTCAAACACTTCCAAAGTTTACATTTCCCAACTTTCAATTACTTTACCCTGTAAGGTAAATATTATTTTAACACTGGTGCCTTTTAAGCCATTTCCTGGCTCTTTCTTGAAAGTAAAAGCTCCGCTTCGGAGGTGCAGCCCGTGGGGCGGCCGCGGTCCCCCGGAGGGTTTGGAGCCTCCACCCCTGGGAGCAGGAGCGACTCCCGAGGCGGCTTCCTGAGAGCTCAGGGGTCCCGGGGCTGCCGAGGGGCGTCCGCAGCCCGGAGCTGGAGGCCGGTAGGCAGGAAGAGGCTGTGGGGAAGCTCCTGCCTTGCTCTCCCTGCCCTCTCCGTGTGCTGGTAGCTCTGCCCGCGCTCCCACCTTCCCACCCGCGGCCCGGCCCACGCCGGGAGCCGCTGCTCCAGGTGCCAAAAGCGGCCGCTGAGACGGCAGCCAAGGCCCCGGGACCCGAACGCTGAGAGGGCAGGCTTGGAAATGAGGCCTGAGAGTCCTAGGGAAGGAGTTTTGAGTGTCTGCTGGAACCCTAGGAAGAGTGAAACATCAGTTAACTGCTTCAACACGGCCAGATTAGATGATACAGATGATTTTTCACCTCATGTTGCAGGTTAGGGAGCCAAGGAGGGGCCTGTACAGAAATAGTGATGAGCAAAACGATGGCAGGTGGAGAATTAAAATCAAGCCTCACCTATGTTCACACCTAAATGTAACCTAAATGTTACATTTCTAGTACATCCTGCTACTCCATTTCTAGCTTAATTTACATTTATGCAGTGGCTTCTTCAGTATGACAGACCTTGTGAAAATACATTCATAGCATTTGAAATGGTTTGATATTAAGTAATTCATAGAGTAACTTATTTACATTTGATGAAGTTTCAGTATTCAGAAATGCAACAGGAAGTCCATAGAAAAACTAGAATGCCCCATTTAATGGTTTCCTCTACTTGTAATCCTCTTGGTTCTTGCATGCATGGTGTTTTGCAATGACCCCCTTTGCACCTTCACAAAATGTTTGACTCTTGCTGATATTTGAGGGGTTTGAGGTATTTGAGGGGAGAACACTCAGCAACATTGGTGATACTGAGTGCAGCCATCTCCATTTCTCTTACCTGGATCTGATGTGTTGAGCACTAACGAGTCCCACATCAGGTTGCCAAAGATTATAAACATGATCTTTGAAAACTAAACGCTAAGTCTTTTTCCAAGAAGTCCTTGGAAGTTGCTGGAGATGACTTGAAAAGATTTTACTTTTATTTTTGTCAAGATTTAGTTTGTATCTTAAATAGTTGAAAAGACCATAACAAAGCAGGGGAGGTGGTTGGTTGTGGGAGGGGAGGTTGGCTTGGCTTGGCTTGTGGGGATTTTGGTGGTCGTTTTGACCTGCATCCTTCCTTTGTGGAACCATTTGTGGAATTTTCATGGTATAAGGATCAGCGAGGATGGAAAAGAAATAATGTGTTTATTTAAAATTTTAACCAACTAGGTTTAGTCTTTGATCATCAATATTATATATAATTTAGGCATTCAGTAATTTGTGTGGCCTTGGGGTTAGTTGTAAAGATTGAAGTTACTGATTTGTGAATGATTTGTGGTAGGTTACTGTGCTGATTTCAGTATAGTACACATCAAAGAATGTTCTTCAGCTCACATGTTTGAAAAGTGTTGTGTATCTTTACATAAAATTAAACATTAGCGAGGTAATATTAGATCAAATAGAGTATGTATCACCTTAATAGTGGAAGTGGGCCCCAATAGCTATTGATTAGATTATTTTTCTATAATTTGAAGGGTATGCCTTGTGGTTATAGTTTATAACTTTAGATAGAACTGCGATAATTTGCTCATTTGTTGGGCAAGATATTATTCGTGCCTAGAAGGTGCAATTCTAAGATTATTAGTGTCTACAGTAAACTAAAAGGGCTTTTAATTGCCTGTGGCCTTATCTAAAATGGGTTGAAATCAGTAAATCAGTGGGAGCCTTTTCAGAGCAGGACCAGGGTGAGGTACTGGACTCTTAAAGCATTAATAAGCTGCATATGCTGAGTTGAAACCTTCAAATGTTTCTAGTAATGTGTCTGGGGTTTTTTTGGTTTTTTTTTTTTTTTTTTTTTTTTGCATTTGAGTAGAGGGAGAGGAAAGCAAGAGAACAGACCAGGTTTCATATTCTTGCCTCTTCAGTAGGGTGGTGCCTCAGCCGTGACACTGCAAACCCTCCTCCCGTTCTCTGACTGCTGAAGGCCTTTTGTTTTTCTCTCTGATTTTTAGGCTACCCTTCCCCTTTGCTTATTGTCCATTTAATTAAGATGTGCTTTGGCTTGGCTTAAATCAGTACTCTAATTGATTTGTGCTGCAGCCACCGTTGATACTGCTAGTTCCTAGAAAGGTAGGTATGGAATTAGTAATACTGATTAAAGAAAGAGGAGGTGATTTATATAAACTTTTGTTTTATTCCTTTCAGTTGCGTTACAGGGGCATTTGCAGACTTTGAACTTTGTTTAAATTCAGGTTAGCTGTGTCTGAAAACTCTGAATCATCTGAAATGGCCCAAGTGGAAATTTATCGTGTAAACTTGTGTGCTTTTTAAATGATGCATTTATGAAATACAGAGCTGCAATAATAAGCATAAGAAGTTTATCCTTTATGGAAGTCATTGCCTTGTTTAGGAATGTGAATATAAACTAATTTAACTAATTAACTAATTTAACTCATTTATAAACTAATATAAGTCATGTCTTCTGCCATGGTGTCTGAGCCTGGCAATGCCTTTGGGTACGGGCTCATTCCACACAACCGATTATCCTTTCATTACAAATAGCTGTGTTAGTACCAGCCTTGCAAATATGTGCCTAGCACTAAAAGACTACTGAAACGCAGCGTTTTAACCCTAAATCTTTAGGAAGGAAAAGTGTGTATTGATTGATTGTGATATTTATTGGGTCATAATGTATTTAAATTTTCTTTAATGCATATGTTAGTGATTGTTTACTGTGATGAAGAGCAAGGAGGTCTCCGCATGGAGTTCTGCGTGGAAAGAATTACCTCATGTCAGTGGTCACTCCTCAATTAAAAGTTCCATTAGCAGATGATTCCTGCTGCTGGTTTGTGTACGGATTGCTTTTTATTGCCTCTAAATCAGGGTCCCGGACAGGGAATAAATAAACAGTTAGAGCGTGTGGTAATGGTGCCCTGCTCCTTTCTCACAGCTGGGACACCTATGTCCATTTAATTCAATTAACTTTGGAATATTTTTACTGAAATTGTGCATTGTGTTGGAACTCTCTTTGAAAATGACTAGTCTCCCTGCTATTAAAATGTAGTTTTATTTGATTATAGTATATCCAGGGCTTAGTTTCATAGTAGTTAGTATTTTAGAAGGTGAAGGTATCTCCTGCATATTCTCACTTCTTATTAAATGATGATTCAATTTGATATAAAATCTGTTAGCCTTTTGCTGGAATACAGGGGTGAATAACTCAATTATTTAGCGTATCTACAGGTAGCTGCAGCTTTCCTCTCTCCCATTCCCCTCTCTCCCAGATGATAGTGCTAGCAGTTTATAACATATATACAGCAGAGGTTTTAAGTGTAGCTGCTCCTGTTGAAAGGCTTGAGAAAAAACAACTGAGATGATGGTGATGACGTCTGCAAATAGCAAAACTTTCTGGAGCTCTTTATTAATGAAAACCATTGTAATAAGACTTTAAAATAGAAGTAGTTTTACAATAAAATACTTGGAAGACTCCCTTGAGATCGTTGTGCTCGAAGCGGGTCCCCCGGTGCCTTTGGAAAGGCATCCGTGGGGTTTGGGTGGCCGGGAGCCCGGCAGCGGGATCACCCAGAGCCCGCAGCTCTGCGGCCTGTTCTGGCCAGGGGGCAGGACATGAAAATTAGCAGCAATTTACAGATGGCTTTGGGTAGCTCTGAAACGAATCCCCTTCCAAAGCCCGGGACACCAGCACCACTGCAAAGAGGTTACTGCAGCCCAGATTGGAGCTCGCAGAACCCAGGAGCAGGGGCTTGAATCCGCCTGACCGTGGGTGCCCTCCCTGCATACAGCGCTACCAGTAACTGTCCAGTATCACATTGCTGCTAGAGACAATGTCACCTGATTTTTGTTCACCTTAAAGCATAAACAGACTTTAAAATATTTTATATTATTTAAATTATATTGATATATTTATCATAATATCATAATATTACATAAATAATATCAATATAATTGATTATTTAAATAAATCATAAGATTTATATCATATTTATCATAATATTACATAAATAATGATATAAATCTTATGATTTATTTAAATAATCTTATTATTGTCAATGAGAAATTGTTTTATCCTTATTAAACACTAGGTGTAAAAATGATTCAAAGGTGTGAGTGATTGTTAATTTTAGTGTAACTTATTTAGTTTTCATTAATTAGGCCAGAAAAGGTTTTGCTGGTCTCAAGAGGGGGTTGAGTGTAAGGAGATATATCTAGAATATAAATAATAAGATAGAAGGAAGTGCTAATGGTTTTGCTATTTTTCTATCATTTTTATTAATGGTTCTGTACAGCTCCAAAGATCTATTGCACTCTGTAAGTGCTAAGTATTATTTAATAGTAACTATTTAAAATGACTGAGATAGAAGGGGTTATGATCTTGGGTCATGAGGACTGATTAGGGAAATAACAGCATTTAAGTTCAGTCACTGGGTGCTTCAGGCTGCAAGTTCCCTGTCTTGCTGTGAGGCTGACGGGTTGCTCTTACTCACAGCCTGCGTAGGGCTCCATTGAGGTGGTTTGTTGGTGTTTTTCCTTTTTGGTTTATCTTGTTTTCCATCTAAGCAGTAGAAACCACAAATCGGATCTCACACCTGGACACTGCTGCTCTTTCAAGACTATCTAGATTTTTTTTCCTTTATGCAAGTTGTAGTTTATGGGGCTGCAGGATAGGGGCATTGAAGTCGATCGAAGGACTAGTGAGATCGGCAGGTTGGGAACACAAACTGCTGAAATTTGGCATAATTGGAACTTGCCACAGGCCTGGAGCCCTTGGCATGGGAGCAAACTAAGTCTTCGATGTGTATTGCAATGTATGTGGTCACCACTTGAGCTCAGCTGGGGTGTGTGACCTCCCGCCTTGCTCTGCAGCAAAGAGGGCTCTTCCCTCAAAGAGCCTTCAGCTACTGATGTAGTAACAGAAAATTCTGCTTGCCTGGGTTTCCAAAAAAGACATTGATTTTAATACTGGAATCGCTTAGCTGGAGGAAATGGTAGTAATTAAAGTTACTCTCAAGTTGCTCAATTTAGTTTGTTTAAAAATGCTTCCTATAGTTTTTAGATGAAGTTATAAATGTTCACTTTGGAACTACCTGAAGATTAATAGTGATACATTTGAAAGGCATTATTTTTTTATTGATTCTTAATGTAGTAAATTACCGAAGTTATTTGGCAGCAAACAGAAATAGCCAGTGATGTTGCTCGCATTTATTTTCCTGATAGCGTCACAATTTGCATTAATTGCATTGCAGCTGCACTCACTTATATTAAAAAGCTTCTACTCTAATTAATCCTTTTTATTTCAAATCATTTTGGCACAATTTCTAGCAATAAACACTCATAAAAGACAGACAGTTGAAAAATAACATACAAGTTTCTGCAATATACCTATTGCTGCCTTTTCTTGACAGGAAATTATTGATAGGCTTCCAGGATCAAGTGTTACAAGTGGCTGGGACTTGAGACTGGTATGAAAAATGCTAAGTGGATTATTTTGCATAAAAAATAGACAGGTTTTGAATTTGTGTAATTAACCTGTGTTTAGAAAATACCTTGATTTATGTCTACATTTGTATTTCAGTTGCATACATTATGGAAATTTAATTTATAATCCATTTAGCTGATGCGATCATAGTTTTTAGTGCTATCATTTATTAGTCCTTGTATATTAAATGCTCTAAAGGCTTAAACCTGCCTTGTGTAAAAAATTACACCTCTGCATTTACATTTTATGAGTCATAGATGGAATTCCATTTTAAATTCGAGTAGCTTTGATATATTTAAGGAATTACAATGGTTTTATTGTTACTAATGCAGGAACAGCAAACACTGACCTTATACATTGAAAATTAATGATTTATCCCCGTAGTTTGCTTTTAAAGTCAACTATACAAATGAGGATTTCGACTTCTACACCTTGAATAAATCATAGAGCTCTAAATATAAAGCGTCCTCTGGCTTTGAACTCATTATTCTCAATTCTTTCTGCAAGGTCTAGCTCACCTCGTGGGACTGTTCTTTAAGAAATTGTATATGTTTCCCTTAACACCTGGGTTGGAACATCATGGAGGGATTACATTTGTTTGGGGGGCCTTTTACTGCTTTTGCTCTTTGTTCTGTCTTTCCCGAGTCTTGCAGGAGACTGTGGAGATATCAGTAATGCTGATACACAGCCCTTGAAGAGCAAAAAGAAATAATAATGCACAAAGAACAATGATTTGGTGTTCAGGATGCCTGCCTGCTGTTAATGATACTTTGAAGACTGGATCGTCTGTGATAGAGATGCTGATGTGGCAACAAAAGGGCAATGGGAAAGGCTGTGAATAGAAAACATTTCTGGATTTTTTTCTTTTAAGGGAGAAATCTAGTGTTTCCTTTGTTTGCATAGACTTTCTTTCAGTGTTGAAGGAGTTTTGCTTTCTGGTCTGAGATTCACATTTTGCCTCCTCTCAAGGGTTGTCCTAAGTTCTTTTTCTCTTCTGTGCAGCAATTTGTTGATGCTTATGTGAAAGGTTGTTTTGTGTGACACTGAAATGCAGCCGTTTGACTGCTCAGGGTGTTGCTGGGGCTCTGGGCAGTTTGTGAAGCTCCTGAGCAAGGCTCCAGCCTGCACTGGGGATATTCACCCCTGCCCTGGGCAGGTCTGGCGTGTCTGGGCTTTTGGCAGCGGTGGCCGTGTCAGTTACAGCACATTGAGCACAGGATCCAGATGCTGCTCGAAGGCCCTGACCTTGCGAAATCAGGATGTTGTTCAGCGATGGCAGTGACTAGCAGAATTCAGCTGTCTTTCCTTTTAAACAGTGCTGAATCTGCATAGCATGCAAGAGACGTGCACAGCATGCGCCTGAATATTCATTTTAAAAAATGCTGTTTTAAAAAAATGCTTTTTTGAGGAATATATAGTTACTTTTCAGCATGAAACTGTATTTAAGTGTAGCAGTTTGTGCATGGAATAATCCTGCATGTGAAGAAGCAGGTGGAGGAAGAGACAACTGCTTTTCCGAGGACGTTCTTGATGCCTTTGCATTGTTTTCAAGAAACCCTTTATCTGACAAATAATGTTGATGATACTTTCAGTTTGATCTAGTGGTTTGAGTAAGAAGATTTAGGACAGATAAACCATAGCCTCCAGAAGTGACCCTTATATTGCTGTATAGTTACTTTTTATATTTTTGAGCTTTGTGTATTTAATAAGGATGTTCAAATTTCAGGCCTCAGTTGAAAATGCAATAGGTGAGATATTGTGATGCTACGAGATCCTATTCAGGTGCTAAATTAAAAAGAAATAACCAATAAATGAAATACACAAAAGTGTTTAGGGTTTTTATGTGTTACTAAAAATCTGATATATTTTTCATCATTTTGGTTTCTAGGCTCTTTATGAAAATATGCTGGTGGAGCTCCCCTTTGCTAGTTTTTTCCTCTCAAAGTTGCTGGGCACGAGTGCTGATGTCGACATTCATCACTTAGCTTCATTAGATCCAGAAATGTACAAGAACTTGCTTTTTCTCAAGAGCTACGAAGGGGATGTGGAAGAACTGGGACTGAACTTCACTGTGGTAAATAACGACCTTGGGGAAGCACAGGTAAGGTTGGGGCCTGGGCGTTTTGCTCTGTTACCTTGGGCTGATGAATCAGTCACTGCTAAGGAATTTTGAACGTGAAGGTGTTAGGAGCTACACACTGTCTCCTTTAGCTGCTGCTCTGATTTTTCAAACTCGAGGGCCTGGAGTTAAACCTTAAAGCAACAACCACAACAAAAACAGGCCCACATTTTTGGAGGGGCTGAGCTGCCAGTTAAATCAGAAGGAAGCAAAGTATTGGCGAGTACTTCTGAATATTGAGCCAGTTATTTAGGTCCTTACAGTGTGAGCTTTTATGGTAACTCTGCGCTGCAGAATTTATTTGTTGATGGCAAAGAACATTTGTTCTTCTAGCAGAGAGTTAGTCCCGAGGATTTGAAGCCTGCCTGCTCACGCTCACGAAGTTGTGCCCATACAGTTAGGGTTCCTGCTTTCCCTCATTTTTGTGGAATAAAAGTTGTATAATTCTAATTGCCCGTTATATATGATGTTTTGATGACTTAATGTTTATTAGTTATTTTTACAGTCTTAATTCTATCAGTATCTTGAAGAAAAATCTTGCTTTTATTGCTTTCTATTGCCTTTTTTTAACCTTCTCTGCTTTCTTTAAGAAAAGTCTCCTTCAACAGCTTGTTTTCAAAATTCTTTATCAAACTCTCCTGCTTCCTTTACCTGTCTGTGTATTCTTTTACATACATACATTGAATATCTGTTGAATGTGAACATCTGTGAAGTGCTTTTAGCTGAGGTACTAGTGGGAAGTCGAATCCCCTTGGTGTGCCCTGTGCCTGGCTTTGAGCTGCTCACTTTGGTCAGCATTGTTCCTGGGCTTCCCCGGGAAGGGGGAGTTGGAAATGGAGCAGTTCTGTTCCCATTCATCCTGCTCCGCTTCTGAAGGAGAAGTGAACCAAAGCAGGAATCTGCTGCAGCTGAAGGAATGCCACTGGGGCTTGCATTTAATTCCTTACCTATCTTTATCTCAAAGTGCTGCCCCGGTGTTAATGTATCAGTGGATTACTCTGTTATCAAAATGTGGAGCCTGAAGCACTGGTCAGGATAGGAACCTGAAGGGTAGGGTAGGGCAGGGTAGGAGCCTGATGCAGGGTAGGATGGGAGCCTGAAGCACTGGCCAGTGATAGGACAAGGGGCAGTGTGTCCAAGTTGAAACACAGGCAGTTCCATCTCCATGTGAGGAAGAACTTCTTCACTGTGAGGGTGCCCGAGCCCTGGCACAGGCTGCCCAGGGAGGCTGTGGAGTCTCCTTCTCTGGAGGTCTCCAAAGCCGCCTGGATGCCGCCCTGTGCCCCGTGCTCTGGGTGTCCCTGCTGGAGCAGGGGGTTGGACTGGATGATCTCTAGAGGTCCTGTCCAACCCCAACTGTTCTGTGATTCTGTAATTCTAAAACCCAGATTTTGTTACAATTTAAAGTAGTATCCTCAAATTTGGGATTCATAGATCATATTTAAGGGAGAGAGTGTCAGCAATTGCCTAACATAAATAATAATTCATGTAAAATATAAGGTGCAAGGAATTTATTTTTTACTGTGTTCTACTCACATATGTATAAAAACCTCTGAGCTGCACTGTTTTTAGAAAAATACTTCAGAAAAGGAAAAAAATAGATGCAATATGAATGTATAGGAAAACATTTTCTGTGTTATAAAGCAAGAGTTTTGTTGTAGCATGTTCAGAAAGAAATTGATAAATTCAATTTATATAGCATACATGTATTCAGTTATTAGGTTGAGAGGCACAAAATTTGGCAGTTTCTAATATGCTAATATAACCCTAGTTTCAAGGGGGAGGTGTGTTCTTAGGTGTGTTCTTTTTTTTTTTTTTTTTTTTTGACTGCTGTTTGTATTCTAAACCCCTTCATTTAAATGCTTTTCAAGTAATAGTGTTACTGTTCATAACCAACACAAATCCAGTTTAAAATAGTTACTGCTTTCGGTGGGGGAGGAGTTATGAATTCCATGCTATGTACATCTAGTGTGGGTGTCTTTAGGAAACCAGCTTTGCGGAAAAGCTAGAGCCAGGCTCAGCAGGCAGGGCGGAAAGGAGTAGGGAAGAGAAGTGATTCAGGAGCTGGGCACCAGGAGGCCCGAGACAGAGATGGTGCCTCCTCCTTGTGCCTGCTCTGAAAGGCTGTGCCAAGCGTGTCCTTCCCCAAAGGCTGATCTGTTCCCTCAAATAACGAGGCTGTGGCTACTAGTAGCAAGTCTTTGGGTTATTAATTATTTCTCACAACTTTAAAAGGAAGGTTGGCTGCAATAGTGAGCTTCCTATTAACTCAGTGGAGTGTTTTGATGCTGTGTAAGTGTGCTTATGCTTGGAGAAGTAGTAACCTTATACCCCTGAAGTATAAACCACCTCTTAATGAGACTGCATTTAAGTGTAGTTCAGCAGAACTAATCATTCTTTAACTGTTTCATTTTCTTTTTTTTTTTTTTTTGTATTTGAATACAGCAAGTTACTTTTTATACTTCACTTCCCCATCATAATAAGCCCCATGCAGATAAATACGTTTTGTCTGGTATCTGACTCATGTAACCGTTGCTTACTAATTAATCGTGTCAAGGTAAGGCTAATTCACTTGGGGAAAAGAGCTTAATTTGCACTCTTTATGTCAAATGTACATTATCTCCAGTTCCCAGCTAAACAACCACTTTAGTGTCTAATAAATTAGCGCCCAGCAAATGCCTCATAAATCTCCCGCTGTAAATAGCCGGGCTCAGGGCAGTGTCCCCCGCACAGCAAGGGTGGCACCGAGGCGCGTTCCGGGGAGCTGCTATTGCCTCCCGAGGAGCAGGCAGGAGAAATGCTATTACCGGGATATTGATCCCAATCCTGTAATGTGCTTTTAGATCCCATTAAACTATTGTAAAAGTGCATTCAGCACCAGTTGAAAAAGGTACTTAATAATTTGCACATTAGACCTGCTAATAGGGGAGCTATGTGATCGACCTTTTTTCCTCAAATAGCTTTAGTTTTTGATAGAGTCAGGGAATGCAGGGATGTTGCAGCAGCTGTTAGATCAGCTGCATGAAACGGGAGCCCTTAAATGTCTCGAAAGAATAACAGCTATATATTGGTTATAGATCCCTTCAAGTAATTGTGTATTTTATTTTCCTTTTATCTTTTAGATTAGAAGGTGATAAAATGTTTTTAATTAAAATAAAAGAAAAAATAAAAAACCACAAACTTCTCTTCTTTGGAACTGTTGCTCTCTGGTGCTTCCCTCTCCCACCATGTCCCCACCACCAGCAGAGAGGAAGGCGAGTATTGAGTGTGTCCTGGGGAGGAGAGGAAGATGCAAGTATGTCCTGCTGCTCCTTCAGAAACATTTAGAGTCGCTACTGGGACCCTTCTCCAACAGTAATTCCAGAGATTGTATGGATCAGAACAGCCTGAGTAGGATCAGAAGATTCCATAAAGGAAAGTCCTTCACAAACAAAGCCCCAGAAAAGCGCTTTAACATATGAGGCAGCAGTGTCTGTGAAATCAAAATACTATTGAAGTTGATCTCAAAATACCCTTTTTTTTGCTTTTAAAGTAATGCAAATACCATTTCTGTTACTGAAAATATATTGACTGACAATCAGGGAGTTGTTGGCCTTTAAATTTCTTGAGAGAGAGAGGCCTTAAAAATGATTATGAATTTTCTGTCCTGTCAGCTTCTTTCCTGGGATACAGTGGCCTCAATGAAAGATTCTGGAGGTTTTTCAGAAGCAGAACAGTTAAGTTGATGCTGATCCTTCTCAGGCAGATTTACAACACTTATGCTAAATGCATTCTTAGGCTTTCACATACAAAATCCTACCAGGGACGCCTGCTGGAACATCTGGAAGGCAGATGCCAGGGAAAGAAAGAAAACCTTCATTTACTTACTTTTAGAATGGAAAAAAAAAAAAAAAAATAGAAAGGATCATCTGGATAAAAGTGACCAGAGTCCAAGAGAAGGGGTAGGATAGTCTCATTTGTTTCATAAACAGGTTTGTGGAGTTCTTACCCATATCTCAAGGTTTGCTTTCTGAAATAGTGCTGAGCGCCTTTGAACACATCAAAACTCTTCATACCTCAGAATACCTGGGTGAAGGGTTCTGAGTTTTTCCTAAAGTACGTCCCACTTTGCTCTCCAAATATTCCCTTTTTCTCCATTGATTTCCCAAATCAATGGGCCAATTTTATGGGGTTTTTTTAAAACTTTTTTTTCTTGATTTTATTGTGATTTATTTCAGTATTACTCTGTTATCTGAAAACTTACTTGCAATATCTGTGATAGTTCAACTCGATGCTCACCTGAACCCAGTCCTTAAATGTCAGTGTAGAGAAAATACAGGAATTCTCTTATTTGGTTTACTTGAACAAACTTTAATGCTCCTGTGCTTCAGTAGGTATGTACAGGAAAGCACATTTTTTGGAAGTAGAGTCTCATGGAAGCCTGTAACTGACTTCATAGCGTTAGTGCTTAGGAAGTGCATGCGGCAGTAGTGGGAGCTGTATCTGACTGGGAACTGGAGGCCTGATGTAGCGCTTTGGGGTAGATTCCTACAAATAGAGAAGTAGCTTTTCTTCCATTTTTTTTAATGTTTTATTTTTTAATCTCACTTTAATTTTTTCCTTCATTTTAAAGATGAGCTATGTCAGTATGGACTAGAATTGTTATCTGTGGTATTACATGAATGTTCCAAATGGCTGTTTTCTAAAGACATATACTTCCTTGATGGCTTTAAAAATATGTAATTTTGATAGCTAACTAAATTAAAATGAATTTTTTTTTTTTTGTTTTTGTTTTTGTTTTTGTTTTAGAGTTAGATAATGGAAGTTGGATGTGATGGAAGGATGCATGTTTTGAGGAGGTTTTTTATTCTCTCCCCTCTGTGTAACCTGTGTTACTGTTTTGCACCATCTAGTGGTAAAATTGAATGGAGAAAAACAAAATTACATGCTCTAGGTGTGCCTGCTTGAGTGGGAAGGTTGGACATTCTCTTGATTTTGTGAAAATTCAAGCTGGGAAATCTTTTAAGACCTAATTGATTGTGTTGTGACCTTTTGGAATAGGAGCTGTTTAGAAAACATTCCTGACACTCCAGGACTAAGTGGGAATCCTACAGTAGTTCTATTAAGATACAATGAAAATAATAATAATAATAATAATTAAAAAAAAGGAAATGGGCACTGCCCCTAGATTTACTATAGTTTTCTTGCCAGCCCAAATTTCAGCAATTTCTATCTTCTGCTTAACATCCTCGTTACTCTGTATGGTGTGATGTATTTATTATTCCTGCCACATTTGGCCGGTGTCTCTCGCCCTGTGGTGCTGCTGTGGCAGCAGTGCTGGTGGGTTGAGTCTCACATAGACAAACTCTGCCCGTGGGTGGCGAGATCACAGGGAAACTCTGTGACGCTCCCTGGATGCTGCAGTTTTAGCAGTAGGGGGTTTTACCACAGAGAACACTTGGTCAGAAATCAAGATTCGCTGCTTTGGGAAGGAAAGGGAAAAGCAGCAAAGATGAGAGCCTGAAGAGGAGGGGTTTTTGTCCTGTCGGTTGTGGTGGTGCTGGGGGTCGCCTCGGGGTGAGCAAGGCCGGTCCACAGTGCGTTTGGCCAGGCCGCCAGCGCCCGACCCGAGCGCCCTCCCCTCACTTGATCCCTCCAGGAACGGGCCGGAACCGCCCGGCCCACACGCAGAGCTGGTGTCGGGGTTGGCGAGATTTGAGAAGGTGAACACATCTTTTTTCTTTTTCTTTTTTTTTCTTTTTTTCTTTTTTTCTTTTTTTCTTTTTTTTTTCCTTTTTTTTCCCTTTTTTTCTTTTTTTCTTTCTCCTTCCTCCTTCCCTCCCTCCCTCCCTCCTCCCTCCCTCCTCCTTCTTTTTTTGTCTTCTTTTTAGTATTCTCTTCTTAGTGGGCTACTCAGGAAAACTGGTCTCATTTGGGATATGTAAAGATCATTAATGTTTTAAAAACTGCCCATGATCCTATTGTGAGTTGTTTTACATTTTAGTACGGTGACAGTATCTTTGTTTCTGTTGTGATTCTTCTATGATGATTTATCCAGATGTACTTGAAGAACAAAAACTAAACTTCTCGGGAAAATGATAAGATTTGGGATTTGTTTAAAACACGACTGAATATGTGTAAGTTGGCTTTACATCAGTGTGAATTTTGAACGATTTTCAGTCTGTGGATCAGTTCTGCATCAGAATCAGGTTGGACTCGTGGGACATTTCTGTGGCCTTGCTCTGAAAACTGGGTGTCATAGCCCCTTCTCTTGCACTTATGAGTGATCAGAAGAAAACTCCACTTGTAATAAATGTTTATCTTAATTTAAGGTGAATATTCTTGAGTATTTTCTAGTGACTCTCAAGTATGTGAGTCTCTTACTGGAGTGCTTTGCAGCTGAGCTTTCCGTTCGCAGCACACAGAGTGAATATTTACCAAGCTGATGGAAAGCGTTGTGTTCACAGGTGGTTGAGCTGAAGCCGGGTGGGAAGGATATCCCGGTAACGAGCGCGAACCGCATCGCCTACATCCACCTGGTGGCCGACTACCGGCTGAACAAGCAGATCCGGCAGCACTGCCTCGCCTTCCGCCAGGGGCTGGCCAACGTCGTCAACCTGGAGTGGCTGCGGATGTTTGATCAACAGGAAATACAGGTATTGGGGCTTAAAAGTCCTCGAGCCTTTACTCAAGCTGCAAATAGACATTTAATTTTTGCCTTTATATTAAACGTTTAATTTTCCGTGATGTAATTGTCCTGTTTATTACTAGGTTTTGATATCTGGTGCCCAGGTTCCTATTAGTTTGGATGATCTTAAATCTTTCACAAACTATTCTGGTGAGTATAGTTTACGTCAACAAAAACCTCTGTTACGACTGATTAATGAATAAATAAATCTGCTTATATGAACAAACCTAGCTTATTTTTAACAAGGAAGTCTCGGGTCCTTGTTGCCAGCATTGGTAGCCAAACTCTCTAGATATTTCAGAAAGTTGGGAAAAATTGCCAGCACGTGCTATAAATGTGGGGACATACAGGTATGTTGTTCATTGTGTTTGTACACTTAAATAGAAGTTTGTAGACGATAATTAGAGAATATGTTCTAACTGGAACTTAGTCAGTGATTGTGTTTAGCCGCCCTCAAATTAAGTCTGTAAATGATTTGAAGGTAGTTGTTTCTACAAACACATTCAGATACTTAGTTTTTTTTTCATAAAGCCTGAGGGACAGCTCATGTTTTTCTGTGTTAGAAATGTTTCATCTTGATTAATTTGATCATCTTGATTAATTTTTTCTTTGCATTCATCATGAATGTAACCAAAGACTAGCTAAGATACCAGAAGTTCACTTCCTGCTTTATCTCAGAGTAACTTGGTTTATGAAACAGTCTCCTAACTCTGTGTGTTTTACAAATTCTTGCAATGAATTATAATAATCTAAAGCTCCTAAACAAATACTAAAATATTAAAACTAATTCAAAATAAACAGATACGGTTCACTGCAGAAAATAGTAGTTAAGAAGTTGAGGGAGGTGGTTTTGGTACGATGAGCAATGCGTGAGAAGCTTTAAAATGTAGTGCTCAAAGAGACCTGTATATAATGGAGGTCAGCAGTGTAAACCTGCTGCTTTTCATATTTTCCCAGAGCTTTTAAAAATAGATAGAAACTGGGGTTTCCAAAGACTGCTTTTCTTTATGTAAATCTCCTCATAGGTGGCTATGCAGCAGATCATCCTGTAATAAAAATATTTTGGAGGGTTGTGGAAAGCTTCACCGATGAAGAGAAACGCAAACTGCTCAAGTTTGTCACGAGCTGCTCTCGGCCGCCTCTTCTGGGGTTTAAGGTTTGTGTCTTGCTGGGTTTTGTTTTGTCCGTTTCTGTAACTATTGGCAGTTGTGGTACAAGCTTTATTTGTCTGTAAGAATTCATAACTTATGAGAGAAACATCCCCAGTGTCCCCAGAGATAGCAGCTTCAGTCTTCACACTTGGCTATAATGAGTATAGTTTAAAAATATTTCAAAAAATATGCAATAGGCCTAAAAACACTTACTCTAGCATTGGTGGAAGTGCTTGTTTTCTGTCATGAAAGCTGCTGGCCCCTGGGCCTTGCCCGTGTTCCCTAGCCAGGGCCAGAAGCGGCGCTGCCAGCACCTCCAAGGAACAGATGTTTTCAAAACTGGACAAAGAGAGGACTTGGGGTGTATCGACAGCTATTGAATATAAGTGTGTGAAGCTGGAGATGTATTCCTTATGTTTCCTTCAGGGTTGCATGGATGTTTACAGGATTAAGGCTAGTCATTCTTTACATCTTAGTATTTTGCTGCTATCTTTACATTGGTATTTACAGTGAACCTTTAGCATGAAGAAAATGTTGGTCTACTGTTTAAAAAACAAAAGAGAGATCAAGTGGAAAACATTTTGATATTAAATTCTGGGGATACTTTAACCATAAGGTGCAGTTGAGCTGCAAAATTCTGGCCAAGATCCGGCCTAGGACATCATTTCCTGAAGGAATGGGGGAACGTTCAGTGTTTCTCTGTAACTCACTGGAAAATATAAGTCACTTAGTAGAAACATCATCCGTTTTAATGTGCTGCTCAACAGAACATTTGCCTGTTGCCCTCTTCATAAAAGAATAACAAAAGTCAGCTTATCTGGATCATAAATAGATCCATATTTAATGGAGTTTAATTGTTTGTTTAATGGAGTTGCTTAGAAGTAAAAATACAATGAATTGCTTTGGTTTCCTTAGAAGTACTGCTGAACAGTGAAAGGACTTCTCACATTATAAGCTAGTGAGATGTAATAGTTAGCAATGGAGAGTAACTGATCTTCTATGTTTGTTAGGTTAAACAGGTAGAGGCGTCCATAACACATGAACTTGAATGCAAAATAGCTTTTAAAATTGCTGGTTTTTTTTTCTGGGAGGAACTCAATTTCTGATTCTCATTCTAAAATCTTCTTCTATTCAACTGTAGAATTGTTTTGGTTTTAGTTGTTTTTGTAGAATTGTGGAGTTTTTCTTTTTAAAAAAAAAAAAATTTAAACACATTTTGTTAAAGTTTTGGTGCATGTTAATTTAAGATGAGGAAATGCCTGGACATTCAGAGCTTACAGGTAGCACAGTGTAGCTTTGGATCACTTAAATTTTGAACTTTAATTGCCAGATTCGGACTCAGAATAATATTTGCTAAAGCTAATTAAAGTTTAATAAGTTTAATAAATGTGATTGTTACGGACAAAAAAAATCATTAAAGTGAGGTTGAAAATTGTTAAGTTCCAATCAGGTCACATAATAAATGGACGATACTTTTCAATTCCAAACTATTGCAGTTCCCCACTGTACAGTACTTAATTATACAACAAATGGTGCCCTTGGCATGACATTTCAATTTAGAACTTCATTTTTCCATTTTTAAACGAAAGTAGGGGAATTCAATTAGCATTTTGAAAGGAATACTAAAAATGCAGCATTTTAGCCATGAAATACATTTTAAGGCCTCCATTTGAACAATAATTTAGCTTAAAATCTCATTGACCTTCTGCCTTTGGAGCTGGTTTTTTTTTTTTTCTGCTTTCTGAAATCAGAACTGTTTTAGCTCAGCAAGCATATGATGAAATTAATACTTTCTTGCCAGCAAAAGCAGTGCCTGGACAGTTAAAATGGAATAAAACCCTTTTGTACTATCATCTTTCTCAGAAGAAGAAATTAATTTAATTAAAACATTACCTGTAAAATGTCTGTTCCTTAGATCCACGCTTATCACATCAGAAGACGAAGCAGAGTTTGCCAGATGTGTACGATTGTATTAGGCATATCTGTATCGTCCCAATATCTGTTGAATGGTCTTATAATCTCTCGGCAGCTGAGGAAATGTGCGGTGTAATTGCCTTAAAGTTAGTTCTTCATGTGGAGAGCGTGAGCTCTGGGTGCAGCAGCTTCTAACCACAGTTCACATCTTCACACTTGCTTTGTCTTGTGCACGAGCAGGCCTGGGGAATTCATTAGTACTGGGTGTCTTCATATAGTCATGTGTTTTAGGCACACTGAAAGATCAGTTCACACTGGGACTGTGAAGGGAGAGAAAGGAGAGAAGTTAGGCCTTTAGCCCGAGTCTTGGATATGTTGAATTGAACAGTGATACATTTAGGAATGAAAATTATGATGTTTATGTGTGGTGTATGAAAAGAGAATGGTGGGTTGATAGGTCCTCAGCCCAGCTTGAAGAATGTGTGTTATGTATCTACATTCTGTTGTCATAGTAGCTCAAGGAGGAAAGCGGGGAAAGGTCCTATTAGGGAATGTTTGGGGGGATGGATTTGGGGAGGGATGTCAGAGGGAGCAACACGGTAACATGAATTGATCAAGTTTCTGTTTATGACCTGCCTGCTCACTAACCCTCTCCCCCTCCTCAGAGCATCATGACAGGTAAAGGCTCACGCAGAATGTGTGTGCATCGTCAAGATACTTTGAAAGTCCAATATGAAAATGTTCAACTGGCTCAGCATGTTGCTTTGGTAGCAAGAGCAAAAAACTAAAAATAAAACTAAAGGGGGGCAGAAAGTGTAAATCTCAGAAGAAACCACTTCACGCCGTGCTAACTGAGCCTCAGGCAGGGCAGAACAATCCTTTCCCATTGCTCTCCATTACTCCAGTGGTCTGTCCTTCCCCGAGCTAAGCACCAAGTTTTCACCCGCAGGAAACATCAGAGGAGCTGGAATCTGCCCCGTACCCTCTCCTCGAAATAGCCGGCACCGTGAGCGTCCCACAGGCTCCCTAAGGAAAGGCTGAAGTTGGCGTGAATTGTTAGTTTCTCCCAAATACAACAGAACCCTCCTTTGCACCCTGTGGTACTTCGATTTTTACATATCTCGCCTCACTGCTTTTGGCACCGAGTATTTGCAGAGCAGGGGGTGTGAACAGTAACATTTTTTTCCCCTCAAAAGCAGATGAGACTACCTTCTGTTTTGTGGTATAATGGATCTGGACATGCAAAAGTGCTGCCCAATTTGAGTGCTTTGGGGGAAAGTAGCAATGCAGCTACCTCCAGAACATGTCATTGGCACTGATTTTAGTCATTTTTTCCCTAGATGTCTCTGCCAGCTGGTAGGGGTTAGATTTTTGGCCCCTGTGTATTTTTGATGGATTTTTTTTCGTATTGCTCTTTTTCAGGAGCTGTATCCTGCCTTTTGCATCCACAATGGGGGATCGGACTTGGACCGGCTCCCCACTGCCAGCACCTGCATGAACTTGCTGAAGCTTCCCGAGTTTTATGATGAGAATCTGATGCGCAGCAAGCTGCTCTACGCCATCGAGTGCGCTGCGGGCTTCGAGCTGAGCTGAGCCGCGGCCGCGCGGGAACTAGCAGTGCCTCCCCCATGCAGCACCGGGCGGCTCGAAGGGAATTCTGCCTACGTTTCTGCAGCTCTTGTGTCTTATCAGAGGCCCTCAGATAGGTTTCCTTTGTAAACACCGTTTGCTAGGTAGCTTTCGTTGATTAATATTACCTTGACCCTGCTTTCTGAGTCAGCTAATGAATGCCGTGGGCGGTGTGGCTGTTTCTGTGCTTAGGCGAAGGAGGAGCACATTTAAAGAACAGTGACATCTCAGTAAAATTAACCAAAGATGAAGCTTTGGCTTTGTGCTGTTCAGATATAGAGAAGTCCACAAACTGGCAATAAAGTTGTGCACCACGCAGCACACTGGGAAGAGACAGGGCTCGCATCTTGTGATGAATCTTTTAGATGGAAGTGGAAGCGAAGCAGATCCTGGCAGATCTCCCCGAACTGAGGTCGGAAGCGCTCGTTACCGATAACCCGACGTCTTTACTGGCGGGGTAGAGTTGTTTACAAACTGTAGGTGTTGCAATTAAGTCAGAACTGATTTTATTTTGTACTGCCTTCCCTAGGAACGGTAGGCACCAAGATAAAAACTATTATGAACAATCTTTCATTTGTGCTTTCTGAAATGCCGTTGAGAAATCGGGGTCGCATGCTTGGTTTGAGTTCCACCTTTGGCTGCATCATTCTCACTTGAACACTGTTGGAAATGGATGAGACTGTCCATGTTCTCCCTCTTCTGTTTGTCTTCTTGCCTGTACAGGGTTTTTTGTTTTGTTTTTTAATGTGTCAGACTCCTCTTGCATACCCAGTACCTACAGAAGTCACGACTTTGGAAAAAATATACATGTAACAACTATTAAAATGATTTAAACCAAAGTTATCAGGCTTTATTCTTTGTGGCTGAAGCCTGTGGTGTTCACATTCCTTTCCCCTGGCATCTTTCCATCTTAAATATCATATCTTTGCTCCAGACACTAGTCAAATTCACTATTTTCTTGTGATTAAACAGCTTCTGTATCCATCTGCCTGCAGTATTTCTACTAAGGAAAGTAGGGAATGTGCTGCTTAATATTTGTTTGCTGGGAAATACTTGGTTTCATGTGGAAGGAACTGAGTCTCTGGTAATAGGCACCTCATTGGATATTCTCCTGTAAAATGCAGTCAACTTCAAAAAGGAATTGCAGCTCACACTGTAAGATTCATAAAGAGTGAACTTTAGTTCCCTCTGAACTTTAGTTCTGTATTTTAAATCATCACAACTTGCAATCAGATTTGTACTCATCTCTTATGCAAAAAAAAAATAGTTTGCTGTTACTGGAAACTGTTGAATTTCATATTTAATAAGCAGTAACCAGCAATATCCTTTTAGATGTGGGGAAATGGAGTGATTTTAAGATGTTTACTAGTAACCATATAAAAATGTATAATTTCTTAATTCGGGTAATAAATGAAGTGTTAAAATGCTATTTGTAGTCTTGATGTACAGAAATAAAAAAGATTGGTTTTCTTTTTGGTTTTGCATTAGGCTTTTTATTTATGTTAAATGGTAGTTACCCCCAAATTGGTTTCTTGTATATTTTTCTACATAAATTATGAAACTTATGAAAAGAAATCAGTAATAGTGCAACTGCTGCCTGCTAAGAGCAAAACCTGAGTACTTCTTTCAGGTAGCATTATTTATTTTATAAGCCAGTGCTTTTAAGTATTTTGAAATTATTTTTCAACTCCCTTCTTTTGCTACATTAATAGTGTTGTATTTGTATGTTGTAAAATGCAAATTAAAAATTTCTATTAAATAACTGTATCTTGAAGATTGTGTTGGAGTCCTGCCACATAACCATGGCTATATACTGTATAATTTAACCATGGCTATATACTGTATAATTTCTGCTTTTGTTTAAGGAGACCAGGTCTACTATTCTTAGCCTTTACCATGACTACAAGTTCGACAGAGAAGATGGGGCTAAAGGAAAATAAGATTTTCAGCCAGTTGGAGTCTTGTTCCTGGAAGAGTCGTGCAGTTGTACAAAACCTCAGCAGAGGCTTTGAGCTCTCCGAGATGTTATTTTTTTCAGTACCTAGGACTTGGTGATCTTGTTTTGTATGTTCTGTACATTGAGTAGGAAATTCTGATGTCTTGAATTTGGAGGGATTGTAGCCTGAATTTCGTTTTATGCTTTAAGGCAGCTGGAAATCTGCTGCAACAGCCTATTCACGCGGGAGGTTTAGTACCCAGACTGCAATCGGAAGAGGGTAGGAGCTGCTTTTGACAACAGATGTTTTTACTTCTGACCCTCAAATCTTTTCGTATAGTCAGGATTAATCATGAGTCCCTGCTTGGCAAAAACCTGCTGCTGGATATTTTAAAGAGCCAGAAATAAAAGTAAGAGAAATATTCTAGGCGTAGCTAATCATGTCCTGAAAGCCAGGTTGTACAGATGTAGCCCTTGCAGAGCAAGCTCTCTTTATATGAAAACAGATTTTTTGTTTTTTAAAACACAAGCAAATTCTCTCCAAGTTACGATGCTTTCAGAGCTTAGACAGAAACATTTTGCATGCACAGTAACCTGGAAATATGCCGTTTGATGATCAGAATTACAACAGGACTAGTTGCAGTTTTACAGTCACTTTATGTGCAAGACACAACTTGGTTAACCTCTGTACTTCAGTGAGTGACCTCCCATCTAAGGACTTGTCTGTTGAAAAATGATGGCATTTGCTGGTTCTTTTGCAGGGAAGTAGGAGAACACTTTGCAAGAACACTTGCAAAGCGTTTTAGAAACAGTTTTGTTGAGGTTTAAAATGGAGGAGAAGGTGAATTCATGTCTCCACAGGAATGAATTTAGCACTTACTCTGTTTATATCTTGATGAGAATTTCTCTGCCTGTGAATTTAATTCCATTAAGTAGATTTTAAAAGAGAGCTGAAATTATTTTCCATGGTAGTTATTTTCCCTCGCTTTCCATCACGGCCCCTGGTTCTGTGGGTGTGTGGCTCTTGTAAAACTTCTCTATTTGCAGGGAAGATTTACGTCAACGTGCAGGGAGGATTTGAGCCCAGCTTCATATGTTAGCACTGAGCTGGTAGAAGTTTAATTTGAACAACGAGGATACCTTTGGTTATTTTTGCATGGGATGCTCCATAATTCCAATAAAATGAATTTCCTGATGCTCTTAGCAGCAGTCCCGCTGTTTGTTTTGGCATCACTAAAGTAAATTTAGCAGAAACAGCCTAATTTGATCTACAAAGGGATTTGAAACTCAAAATATTTGACCAAGGTCAGCGTCCTGATGCTAAAATTCAGTTCCTTTAAACCAAAAGCTATTTGTAAAATGTCAGTGAGACAGCTCTTGCTGTTTCCACCACTGAAATACATTATAGCACTGAACGAAACAACAAAAAAGCGCTGTTTTTCTTGGAATATTTTGTTGAAGCTGTATTTTTTTTTGTTTTGTATTTATAATTATATGCAAGAACTTTGAAAAACTTTTGCTCATATACATGGATCTGTGTTGATAAGAATTTGTGATGTAACTTTTTTTTTCATGATTTTGCCTGTCAGTGAAAGAAGAAATGAACGTGGTCTGTAAAACTGATCAGGATATCTATATTTTTATTGACTTCTGCTTTTGTGAATAAAACAATTTGAGTTTTCACGAAGCTTTGCAGAAACACTTTTCCTTTTGTTTTTTTGCAAGAAATTGGGCATTTTGTGGCTGAAGTTTGACAGTACTGAAACAGGTTTGAAGAAGGAAGCTGATATAAACCCTTGCCTTGAAATTACCACTGCTTCATGTTGATTTTTCAGACTCACAAGTTCCTGCTCTGTCAGCCAAACTGCATCTCTGAGGTTTAACTTTGTTTCAATGTGTCTTTCAAAAACTTGCCTTAGGATCCATGACCCCACGTTGACAAATCTCTTCAGGATGTTTGGAAAGCACAAAACTCCATTCCTGCATGTATGAAAACAGGAGAAATTAGAATTCCCAGTGAAGAATGTTGCTCTGTCAGCAAGCAAGTACCAAAACAGCTTCTGCTCCTGCTGGCTTGCAGGACCTACGTGGATCCCTCTGAAGGTGTCATTTAATTCTTCCTTTTGCCACTTCCCAGTTACTTGCTTCTCTTTGCTTTTCATAGTTTTCCTGTGACTAAACACCCTTTTAAATGCTCAGGGACATTTATAAAGTTACTGTTGTGCATGCTGATTTTGAAACGGAAATGCTTTCAAATGGCCCGGTGTGTGCTTCAGTTGTCCTTAAAAGAGCGGTTTACAGAAGATTACCAAAACCTGAGTTTCTAAGGCACTCCATAATTTAGATAAAAGATACCATGAATAGCACGTGAATGCCCACATTTTTTTTTTTTCCCTGTATGTGCCTTGTAGCCTTGTAAAGTCAGTAGAATTTCTTATGTTCAGGGAGAGACAACACAAGGGAGAAAGCGTCAGCTGCAGTTGCTGATGTTTCCCAGGGTGGCTGAGGCTGGAAGGCTGATAGTTCCTCATGTTGGGAAGCCCAGAACTGATCCCAGCATTCCGTGTGCATCTGATCCGTGCTCAGCAGATGGGAGGATCATCTCCATCAATCAACCAGAGCACCTAACTTGCTAGGGAGACATTTGACTTTCCATTTGAGCTATCCTGGGGCAGCACTTTCTTGAGAACAAGTTACTCAGATCAGCTTTGCTCCATCTTGCCTTCGGTGTCACCAGTTCATTCACAAGAACTTCTTACAGGAGCTGAAAATACTAAAGTGTGTGGAAATTCATCCCAAGAAAAATCTTGTCTTATTTTTGCAGTAAAGAATAAAAGCAGAGAATTTCCATGTGAAAAGCAAAAGACACTGAACTGGCTTAAATCTGTTCATTTTATCTGAATAAACAGGGCTCCGTTGGCTTCATGGAGGTTGTTTGCTAAGGTCCAAGTAAAGAATTCACAAGACCTTCAGCTCTTTCCACAGATTGTTTCTCCCACATGTTTAAGTAATTAAAATATGTATCAAGTTTGATCTTGTTCAGTGTGCAGATTGTATCTAATTCCAAAGTGCATTTTCTTGGTCAAATTGCAGCAACTTTGCTTTCTCCTGGATGGGATGGATGGAAGGTCAGTGATGGCAGCCAGGTGTAAGCCAGGCCCGTGGGCGTTGCTTAAAAACTAGAGATGTGGGCAGTTCTCAGTGGCAGCGGCAGGTCTGCCTGGGCAGTGCTTAAATCACTGCTGCCTTTCTGTGCTGGAACAGCTGGTCTCTAATGAGGGGTGAATTTACTGTGTACAGCTCCAGAGACCATGTGCTCTGTGAGCAGTATTTGCTAGTGCATTTACACAAACCATTTGCTGAGGATGTACGTTGAATTCTGTTCTACATTCCCGGAGTGCTTGTTACTTTATTCTATAGATCGTTTGAAAAATAATTTTGCCTGCGTTTCTGTTTAATTCGTGGTTTATAGTTACGCAGAGCTCTTGGTAGAGGGAAAGAGGCAGCCAGCAGCTGGTGCTATTTCAGATTTTCTTGCTCCTTCTGTTGAGCCAAATGTTAGATGGAGAAAACAGCTCTCGTGAATTGCTGTGGTTTTCTGTATGTTGTCAAACACACCTTCTAAAGAAGCTGGTTCCTTCAAGCCTTTATCTCTCCTAAGTAAGAACAATCATTTTCATTACAACTCCATTGGTTTTTCTTCCTTGGCTCCTTCAAGCAAGCAGCAACAGAGCTCAAAATTCTAGGTATCTTTTAGATATCTGTTCTAGATACTTATGAGATGGAATGATAGAAATTTATTTAATTTATTTTGCTGATGAAAAACAAAATTAGCAGCTCTGACTGCGCACATCTGTTCTTAGACTGTTGTCTGCATGCCCTGGGTGATGCCCCAGATGCACCTGATACTTCATGAGGAATTGGCAACATGTGTAACCTGCCTATCCTGCTTTGTGCCAACTGCTTCTAAAGCTTCCATTCAGCTCAGGCTTTGCTTTCAAAGAGGAGTTCAGATCAGCTCGCGGGATTGCCTAAGATCTTGATCGCCTAGGAAAGCCCTTGCCAGTGAAAATCGGTTGGGCTTGGCAGAAAAGCTCTGGAAAATGCTAATGAAAAGTGGTTATTTTGAGCTTCTAATGCTTTTGCTTAAAGTTTTAAACATTAGGTGTATTGCCAATATTTCAAATCTAATTGTTTCTGATAAGCTATAAGCAAAAACTTAACACTTATATTTAAGCAAATAGCACTTTCCAGAATTACTTTGTCAGTAGTAGTGTAATTAAATGATATGAGGACAGTCTTTGATAAATACGCTCATATTCTCTGCTAATTCCAAAAATAGAAACTGTAAATCTGTAAATAGAAAAACTGGATGCATTAAGCACCAGGCCAGGAAGGCCAGAGCCATTACCACATCCAAAGGACAATATTAATATGTCTCTAATGCAGCATTTTCAACCATTTCTTGTGTTCTGATGGGCTTTTCATAATTGACCTCCATAAGTCATATTGAGGGGGAAAAAAAAAAAAATCTGGGAACTCTGAGAGTTGCTGATACCTCCTGGAATGAGGCCACCCGATTTCCATCATTAGGTTACACCAAGCAGTTAGGCCGGAGTTCATCCCACTTAATGCCAGCCATATGAAGGAGGGAGGAATTGCAGTGCTCCACAATGCGCTTCTGCCTTCACTGACATCCACCTACCTGGTGGGTCAATAAATCATGAATAAATCATGAGTAATTCATGAATAAATCATGCCCTGGAGGTGCCTCCTCCTCTCTCTTAGCAATTAAAGGGCTTCAACTAGAGGCTTACCTTTGAATCAGCTTATCTAAAGTCGATGAACCACATCTTTGCCTTGTGTTTTCAGGTGAGAGTTGAAAAATTCTTGATCAGTCAAGATCCTCTGATAATAGTTTGTTCTGTCTCATGACTCAGTATTTGGATGCCAGCCCGGATCTACCTGAATATTTGATACCTGCTTCTACAGCCCCACTGCGCTCCAGCTTCTGTTATCTGAATGTTCATCCCAGGCCTCCTCCCAGCCAGGAACAGCAGCTCTATTGCTCTTTTTAACACAGTATTCCATGGTTTTGCTGACCCATACAAGCATACACGGCTTTTACTTTAAACTTTTATCTAAAACTTTGTTTTAGCCTTGAAAACCTTGCAGGTCTGAAGATCTGAAGGGGTAAAGATGGATGTCCTGTTGTACCAGGCCAAGACATCAAGTGCAGCAGGCAGAGCATCATGAGAGCAGCAATTCCTGAGTGCCAGTAAGCAACGTTTCCTGATCAGAAAAGAAACAGAACCTGGAAAAACAAGCCTGTGCATGTCTATATTCCTGAACCACTCCTGGATTTAATTTATCTCAGAGGTATGTTTTTCTGTTAACTTCTAGAGGAAACAGTAATATGAAGAGGGAGTAAACGCTGTCACTGTGCACTTTTTGGAGGCTGGTCCTGTTAGTCCTGTGCTTGCAAAGTTACTGTGAACACTTATTCTGTGCCTGAACAAGCTCCTAGGGTGAAACGTCGTGGTCTTCAAATGGAAGGGCTGGTCACTTACCAATAGGGGGAGCCGGAGACCACAGCTCAGGAGCAGACCAACGCATCCAGAACGAATTGAAAACAGTAGAGAGAATTATGATACCTGTTGTTTCTTCCTGTTGCTTTATTTTCTGGAGAATATTTATTTATAGTGCTGTGTTTTGCTGTACAAAGTGCCAAACTGGCTCTCATACACGGATATACCGTCGCCCTCAGCTGTGCACAAGGCGTTTCACCTGCTCCACGTGCAAAATCCATCTCAAAGCCTTCCCCATCGTTACACCTACCTCCCTCCGAGCTCCAGGACGGCTGGGCACTCTGGTGAAACAGTGAAAATCTCCAGCCCAATTCTCATCCCTACTCCAGCTGCGGGTGAGCAGAAAGGGCAGTGGGACATTTCCATTCTGTACTTCCATCCAGAACCACGTCTCCTTGCTAGCCTTGTTCTGCTTGCATGACTAAACCACAGATTTAACAGTCTGGATCCATCAGGATACATGTTAATGCAAAATCTGCTTTCTTAACAAACCAAAAAAAAAAAAAAAAAAAAAAAACCACTTCATTTGCTGCTGCTTGTGCCATTACCTCGTGTGAGATTTTTAAGACATTAAAGATACATTTTTTTCTTGCTTGTCACCGTCTATGATAGGCCGAGGAAAAACTTGTTTCCACGTCAAAAGATGTTTAAAGAATTTGAGCAAGATCTTATATAATCTGCAGTTGGCCCTTGCCAGGCCTCAAATCCCTCAAATCCTCTGAGCTTTGCAACTCTAGCTCTTAGAAGAGCTAGGTTTTTTTTTTTTTTTTTTTTTTTTTTTTTACTACAACTTGGACTTAGCTCATTGCTGATGATAAACATATACAGGTCCTACGTGTCTTTCTGACCTAACTGAAGAACTTTTTTCCATGACCCTACTTCAGCATCAGACCTCACTGGAACTAAATTTCATTTGAGGCTGGAGCTCTCCTAGTCGTTGCCTTTCTCATTTGTATTAGGTTTTCCTCTTTTCCCAGCTTGCTTTTTTCTTCTTGAACAGATGGATACATCTTCTGCCCACATAAGCAGTTTTATCTCCAAATTCCTGAGTAACCTTTTGACTGCCTTAACTTTGGGAACAGATAAGTTTTAGGTGTGGCAGTTCCCTGATTTCAGTTTGCTGAGCCATAAAACAATGCCTTTTTACAGCTTATTTTAAATAAAGGTCAAGAAATATAATTCTACAGCAATTCAAAACATGGATAAACTCCAGTTTTTATAAAAGCTGAATTGTTATTTGGCAGCCTCTGTGGCAGCGTCAGCCTGTGACACTGAGGAACTCACAGAAAGGCCCCAGGGCTGCCTAAACTTTAGAGAGCCCAAAGGAATCTGCACAGGCGCCAGCTGGAAAACAATCAGTGCAGCCTTAAAATAAATTACGGGGAAGGGCTGCAGTGCTTGAGGCTAAAAAGAGCTGTAGGATGGATGTGGGGATTTTAATGAGCCTGCACACCCCAAACTTTTTCAAAAACTGTTTAAATTATGGTATCTCCCCTCCCTTTCCCCCCAGGAATTCCCCAGCATAGTGTTCGGTTCTTTATTTATCTGTGAAGAAGGGCAGGGAGCTGCGAGAGCCGGTTTTCCCCGCCCCACCCCGCCACGGCGGCGGTTGCGACCGTTAGGTCCGTTGCGGGGGCCGGTTCGAACGCAGCCGCCCCCCCCCC